GACAGCTGCTGGCCTGCCCCTTCCGCCTGGGCTTCGCTGAACAGCACTGTTGGTGGTCGTCTGATTGCGACCGTACCCATTGGTACACCCTGCCATGCTCCTAACTATGATGCCGCTGCCTGTGCTGCCCTCAAGGCCGAGTGGTATGAGCCGCAGCCTCAGTATGTTCAATATCCCTGAAGAGGTCGACGAAAGCTAATCGCCACTAGCCTAAATTCGCCCTCGTCGATCATGCAGACGTACTTTGCTAACCAAACTTGCGATCCTTTCACCTCCCAGTCTAAGCCCTGCACTCTAGGCAACTTTGCCAGTTACTCTGTGAATGTCACCTCTAGCAATGAGGTCATTGCTGCTGTCAGATTTGCCCGTAAGCACAACATCCGCTTTGTGATCAAGAACACCGGCCATGAGTAGGTTCCTCATCCTTCTGTGCTTCGGATCACAACTAAAAATGATATAGTTACCTTGGTCGCTCGACCGGTGCTGGTGCCTTGTCTGTCTGGACCCATCATCTGAATGACATCGAATATCAGGACTGGTCAGACTCAGACTACCAGGGCCCCGCGTTCAAGGTCGGTGCAGGAGTGGTCGGCTACCAGATTCTCGACGCTGCCCACTCCAAGGGCCTCGTTGTTGTTACTGGCGAGTGCCCTACGGTCGGTCTGGCCGGAGGCTACACACAGGGTGGAGGTCACTCCGCCCTCAGCACTCAGTTCGGCCTCGGTGCTGATAACACCCTCGAGTATGAGGTCGTCACCGCCGATGGAAAGCTCGTCAAGGCTTCGCGCTCCGAGAACTTCGACCTCTTCTGGGCTATCAGCGGTGGAGGTGCTGGCAATTACGGTGTTGTGATGTCTATGGTTGTCAAGGCTCACCCCGACGCCATCGTCTCCGGTGCTGAAGTTGCGTTCGCCTCGGCCAGCATCTCCACCGATGTCTTCTACGAGGCCATCTCGCAGTTTCACGCTCTCCTTCCGGCCATGGTCGACCAGGGTGTCACCGTCATCTACCAGATGGCTGCCAGCTTCTTCAAGATCGCCCCCATCACCGCTTACAACCAGACCTCCGATGATGTCAAGGCTATCTTGGAGCCCTTCCTCTCTGCCCTGACCGCGCTGGACATCAAGTACGCGGCGAGCTACACTCAGTTCGACTCTTACCACGACCACTACAACAACTACATGGGTCCCCTCCCTTGGGGCAACCTGGCCGTCGCAACCTACCAATACGGCGGTCGTCTGATCCCTCGTAAGACCCTGGAGGAGAATTCCAACGGAATGGGTGCCGCCCTCCGCAACATCACCCAGAGCGGCGTGATCGCTGTCGGTGTTGGCATGAACGTTACCGTCTCCACCGGCAACATCTCCAACGCTGTCGCACCCGCTCTCCGCAACGCCGCGGTGACCATGCAAATCGGCACTGGGTGGAACGAGACCGCCCCGTGGTCCCAGATGGTCGCCGATCAGTACAAGATCACCAACGAGTACGTTCCCCAGCTTGAGGCTGTCACTCCCAACAGCGGCTGCTACCAGAACGAGGCCGACTTCCGCCAGTTGAACTGGAAGGAGACTTTCTTTGGTAGCACCTACTCGCCCCTGCTTTCGATCAAGCGCAAGTGGGATCCTACTTCGTTCTTTTATGCCCTGAAGGCTGTTGGCAGTGATGCCTGGAATGTTGCTGAATCTGGTCGTATGTGCCGTGCTTAGGCGAGTGGCACGACTTATGATGCGAGATCCCACATCAAAAGTGTTATCACGTGGTTAGATATTTATGTATTATATACTCCATACAGTAATTAGATCAGTATTTTTAAAATGAGTTTCTTTTGATTCAGTTGGCAACCCTACAAAAAATCTGCTCTCTATCTAGACTACCTGGGTCTCCTTGCTCCACTGTACCGGGATTTTGCCGAGGGTTGAGTTAGAGCCATCGCTAAGACCAGATCACACTTTCCATATTAGGTCTAGTAAGGTACAGGTAAGTATATACACGGCTAAAAGGCTGTTAAAAGGCATGTCCAAGTATTCACATATCGCCAAATGTTTGTTGTCCCGCAAAATGATGCATTTCGCTTTGGCTTCTCGTTTGGTGTTTTATCTTCTACTTTCATTTACGATGGAATCGTGAAGTAAAGTCGTGAAAGCTAATGTACGCTGAAAGATGCTCAAGCAATGCAAATATCTATAACCCATGAGAACCAATATATGGTACAAATAACCCAATGACAACATGAAACATTTTATACAAGCAAGATGCTTAAGCATTGCTAGCGCAAGAGAAGCTGTTGCTGGAAGCATCGTCGTGGATAGCCTTGCCAGAAACATAGAGACCAAGACCACACATGCAGCCACCGATCAGGATGATCAGAACATTGACAATGGTGAGGAAAATCTTCCGAGGGGAAGATAACCACTTGCCCTTGTTGATGTGCAGCCAGTACACACCACCAAGTCCGTAACTGAACCAACTAGCAAACAGAGAGCTGATCAACGACAGGAGGTCGCTGAAGACAGGAATAGCATCAGCAATGATCCAGGCGATGACCCAGCAGGTGAGTGCGATGGCAATCCAGGATCCGACGGCAGTCAAGTCGCGCTTGTGCATGCGATCGGTTCCACGGAAGAGGCGGACATAGATGTACTTGAGACCGATGTGGCCGTTGACAACACCAGCACCAATAATCTGAAATTGTCAGTATATGAACGTGAATCAAGCTAAGAGAGATAACGTACGGTAGGGATGGCAATTCCGTAAGCAACCTTCTTCAATACGGGGCCCGCAGATGTCAGGGCAGGAGATGCGACATCCTGGCCAACGTAGTAGTAGATGACAACCGCAGCCACGGTGTAGAAGATGATCTCGAATGTCTGCAGCATTACCAGAGCCTTGGGGAAGTCTCTGGGCTCCTCCATCTCAGCAAGCAGACCGAAGAAGGCGACGTGAGCGCAGTAGGCAAAGACAATGTTGGTAACGGCGCTGAAAGCGCGGAATAGATCAGTGTCAACGGTGGCCTTGAGGTCAACACCACCCTTGTTTTGAACACCGACTCCAATCATAGTGATCAGCACAGCAGTCAGAATACTGACGAAGGCTATAGACATAATTAGCACGCATTCCATTTTCCAGTGGTTGAATCCACATACACATGCACGAAATGTAGGTCATGTTCTTCATGGTCCGAGGGAGAGAGCACACGAAACAAATGACGAATCCAACAGTCGTGAAAACCATAGTGCAGGTACCGTGCTCGGTAACGGTGTTCATCATGACACTGAAAGTCAAGATGTGACTACCCATAATGAAAATCGAGAAGAGTAGCTGGCCCAGACCGAATAGCTCGCGACCAAAAGCACCAAACAAGACCTCACCGGCATCGGCCAAGTTCTGTATATGGGGGTACCGCGCGCGGAATTGGTGGATTGTGTAACCGGTATAAGTCGCGAGAATACCCAGTCCAATAATGAGGACTAGAGCCGGGGCGAGACCCAGCTCGGCGAGGGTCTTTGGCAGAGACAGAACACCGAGGGAAACAGATTCAGCAATCATAACTAGATCCAGTCAGAGAAAATTCATGTTGATTGTTGCGCACTTTATTAGTACTTACACATTCCGGTTTGCCTAGAAGCATACAGTTAGCATATGTTTTGCCATTTAGATCTCCGCAATGCGTAACGTACCACCACTTCATGGTCTTATATTTGACCTCCGCACCTTCCTCGTTACCAAAGGCATCCTGATATTGAGGAGCAACCTGGTCCTGCTCCATATTCTTTTCCTTCCACCCAGACTCCGAGTCAGTCGGGTCATAGTGCGGTGTTACTCCGTCGAGAATCATGATGTCAAAGCAGAGATACCGATAGGGAAGGGCGTAAGATCAAAGCAACTCAAAGAAAAAAAAAGAAGAGGAGAACCAGGTCTTCTATGTGTGGAAAATTCTTGAGCAGTGTGGAGCTTAACGTGACACCCCGCAACAGTTTACTATGGGAAGTTGGGGCCCGGAATTCCGGGGCCCGGGTCTTCTGGAAGGCTGGTAATCATGCTTATCTGGCGAAATTCAATTTCTATTGCATATTTGCATTATGTTCCATGATCAGGGTTTTTCTTTGATGTCGGAGTATCGATGGATTTAAGCCTCGGTGGAGCCACTGGGCGCGGAAGAGGTTGCACTAAGCCCACTTTTCTAGTTCAACAGCCAACCATGGCTTCGGCATGAGAATCTTATTATCTAACAAGAATCGGCCGTCTCGCGTGGGCCGCGAATAGCCGCATTTAATTTGACACCGGGCCAATCCCGAAAGCAGACTCTTCAAGATGTTACTAAATGCCAAGCTTAGCTTCAGGATGATCAGACAACGCTCTGCTGAGATTTCTTCACTTCAATTGACGTCCATGCAAGCACTTAGAGATCATAGACATACACCATTGGAGCTGATGGCAAATTCTATGACTTCATCTGGTTTCGGCTGGCACCGAAAACCTTCTAGAAGCATGAGGATCAACCGTGGACTGCTTCGGCTCGAAGCAGTTTTTCGCCACAGAAAAAAGGAAGCCTTAGTCAAGCCTTATAACTAAGCTACCGCCTAGAAGCACCAAACGATCTTGGCCATTCTCTGGTTCAGGCACTCGGCTTTTGTGACAGTCCCGGATGTCGGGTTGCAGACCCGAGAAGCTCAGGGGTCAGTGCGAGGGACAGTCGTGTGGTGGATGACTTGTGTCATAGAAACTATCTTCGTGGGCAGTGCCCCAAGAGTGCAGTACTGTGATCTTTGGAGAAAACTTAAATTCCTCGGAACTATGGCAATTTTCACAAGAATTCACCGGCTGCATAACTCGCAATTCAATAACGGTAATTGGATCACACTTTCCACTTTTAGATAATATATCGCGGACAACTCATTACCTGGAAAGCACTCCACCTTTTGGCCCCCTAAAGCTCCAGTTTCTCCAAAATTCGACCCCGGATGACCCCGGGATATGAGAAAACAGAACGTAATTAGAGTCTAGATCCCCGAATCATCTTCTTCCACATTGAGTCGATTCTCGAATGCATCCCACGTTTGGCAGTTAGCATGTAGATTGTCATAGTCAATCAGTGGCTTGATCTCATTGTACCGCTTCACAAACTGGATTGCAAATCCTTCCTCAGTATGCCATCCAATAGTTGTCTGTTTTGAATGCGACGACCAAGTATCAATTTTCAGGCAGCATGGCCGTGTCACGCTTGGGCGGAGTAGCGAGGGTAGTTATGTCTCACGTCCCACTTTCTTGAGCGAGCACCACGACATCGTGGCCATGGAGATGAATTGGATGCGGGACCGACATCGACATTTCGATGACAACATAGGTCCACACATTGTTGTGGGGAAGCTCAACAACACCACTGGTATTAGTCCAGCTGCGGTGACCACGGTAGACTCCCCAAAGTGTTGAGTCCGTCCAATTTACATGCATCGATGTTGAATTGAGCTTCCACCGGTAAAGACTGCCTCCGTTTTTACCCAGCGACACTGCCTCGGACTTGTTGTAGAAAGGACTGAACACTGTTTCCGAGACAATCGGGGTTAAATTCGACATGTCCTCGTCAACACAGCTGTCGGTAAAGCTGTAGCCAGTGGTAGAAGGCGTTGAGGCGAGCCACCGTAGTATATCATTCCCATGACGTTGGTTGGGTTCGCGTTTTCCGAGCAGGCATTCTGGGGTGTCACACGTAGCCTGAAGTTCTTGGCGACCGACACTTGATCGACTTTACCAATAACGTTGTATCGCTGACCTAAATCGTCGTTAGCATAGAAAGTTTGGGTAAAGTATATATCAGGCTCACCCATAGCTATGTTCAAAACGTTCGTCTTGTATGGCTGGATTGGTACAAGGCCATTGGCAATGACTGTCATGGTGTGTGTGGTTGTCGATAAAAAATTTGAAGCGCGTATCACAGGCAGCGGTGACTAGCCGCAGTCAGTAAGAAGTTTCTGCCGTGAACGAGGCATTGAAGCGAGTTCCAGTTTGATTCACAGTACCATCAGTGCCGAAGACATTTGTTCCGTTAATCACGGCAGTAGCAAGAGTTGGCGGCGCGTACTTCTGAACAGTCATGAAGAGCTGATCCACGGTATTGTAATCCCAGTCATTCAAGATAATCACTCATTATCTTCATCGTAGTTTGCACTGGCTGGTCCATTGATCACAATACCACCAAACAGCCCTTCCCATGCTTGGAGTCCGATTATGACCTGTGGTACCAAGTAGTACCGTATTGAATAGCCCGCCACTTGTTGTGATGGTCTTGTAAGGCGCAATGGGACACTGGGTGATCGTTACAACACCATCTTTCTAGTTTGTGTAGATTTAGTGGATGCCGTGGAAGTGAATGCTAGACCCGTTCTGCAAGGTGCTTAGCAGGCTGTACGCTGTCCTGTCTTGCAGTTTGCAAACTTTGCTCTTGTAACACGGCACATGGGCTTTGTTTCTGGGTGCGATGAGACTGAAGCATTGCAATATCATAGTAATTCTCTCCAACTTCAGATTTCAGCTCTCTCATTACCCAACGGGAGGACTAATGACATTCTTGCCTCGATTGTCATTATACGTCTCTTTGAGCAAATGGACGATCTGTCTAGATCCATAAGGGTTGAATTTTCGCTCGTCGCGCAAAAATCGCCTCGACCTGACCAAGTGGTGTTTCCAGCATCTACAAGACCTAGATGATTTTGGTTTGACCAAGCAAATAGTTCCTTATTTGTGGCAAGTTCGCTGACCTTGGCGTTCTAGGACGGTTCCTCTATCCCGGGAACACAGAGCTGGTAGGACCTAGATGAAGTCGTAGAAAGATGGAAGGCCGAAAAGCCAAGAAGTTTTGAGCCAATTTTTCATATTCTTCTCAAATGGATGAAAGTAATCGCTTTTCGGAAATCTGGATGTTATCTACAGAACATGGTAGGTGAACAATACCTGTCGTCGCGATATCCCCCTTTTTTAAAAGCAGGCTATAATCCTGATATAGTGGTTGGTCTGCAATATTATCCCATAACCAGGATTATTTTGGCTTTGTCAAACCAACCTCCTGTGGTGAGGCTGTACGCAAACTTACGAGGAGGATATGAGGTTGAGGTGACTATGCGATATGCACTTAAGCATAGCAGTTCGCTGATTATATTTTGTATAGAAATATATTCGCTACCACTTGCTGATGGTTCTCGGACTTTCGCAATCCAGTCTCAATGCAGAAGATTTCCTTTTCACCCCAAGCATTATTTGCCTGCTTGGGATGGTGTTTTCGAACCACACAGATCAAACTGCTATATTGGAGTTTAATGCACTATAGAGAAATCACTGGATACGTCACAAAGCATTTGGCGGCGAGCCTTGGTGCACTATAGGACGAATTTGGGAACTGAGGCTAGTAGTCAAATAGCTTCGCAGACCTTGAGAGCCCATAATAGTCCGTTTATAAGACGATAGATAAGTTATTGCAGTCACTTACTGCTTCATGGAAGCCAGGCCCACTCTTAATATCACATCCAAAATCCTCGCATTCATCTCAGATCTGATGAGCTTCCTTACGCCCAGACATGATATTTAGAAAGGGAGAGTGGCAGTGCCAGCTCTTGGCGAACCTAAAAATAAGTTTGCCTCAAACATTCATAGTAGCGCCAAGAGCATTTTGGCGCGCGTGACATTCCGCGCGGCGGAAAAGACTTGGCATGTTGGTCCCCTATCTGGGAGAAATGACATTCAGAGGCTTTGTCCGACCTAAATACGTGGGAAGTCTTCCATGCTCTGTGAATTGAAGACTGTACTCAAAATAGGAGTACCCAACAGGTGATCTCTGTACATACCAGATGGAAATTCTACCTTTCTGATCTTGAGTCCTCAAATGCAATGACCGGAGCAGCTACTTCAACCTGGCTGAATTGTCTTGTCTCTAAGGTGACTTTGAGTCTGAACAGTAAGCCAGTAAGTTGTAGAATTGATTTGCCGTGTACAGTAACTTGACTGTCTGCGAGGAACCGGGGGAGGAGGTTATCTAGGCATTCTTAGATACATATTCTCAAGGCAAAATTAAAAGCGTAAGTCTTGCTTAGTTACGCGTTACGCATATAGGTATGCTTGCGTCTTTGACAGGGCATGTAAGAAGATATTCGGGTGTCGAGGCCACCTCCTCAACCAATTTTTATGTTTCTCCTAACCGCCTACCCCGGGTACGCCGGGAAGGGGGGCGGGGTAAGAAGGGCCGGCCATTCGCTCTTGGCATTACTACACTCTCCTTTCGCAAGCAGAGGAATCAACGCCAAGCGCCTAAAAACTGGGCAGTGCTAGTAGAGCTGGGTGCCCAGAGCGAAGTCAGGCAGCAGGATTTGCTGTGCCAATGTCTTGGAACATCGATAGAGTCCCGTTCTCTTTGTAATCCCGCTCGTACGGCGCCTCTCTGCCAAGTGACTTGTTTCACAGTGATGATTCGGTACAATCCTATGGGTTTTATTGTATTATTGCCCCTTTGTTCTAGAGAATGTACACTCATATTCCCCTGCTGGTCTTAATGCGCTCAACTCCTGCTCTCGATCTCCCTGTCCTATGCCTTTTCTCCGATGTCAGCTGCCCCTCCGCTCGCGTCAAATGAGGCCTGTGATCCTTTCAAGGTGGTTGGCCGCCCTTTTTGCCTGCCTCTTCATACAAAATGCCCTCGCAATTGACGTTAACCCTGATGACGAGAGTAGGTTCATTTCATCCCCTACCTAAGCACCTCAAATGACTTACATGTACCTCCCTGGCAGCCTCCCTCAAAGATGCTGCCAAGACCGTCGCCTCCGCCATGATGAAGTTCTACAGTGACCGCGACTCGAAAGCTATTCCAGGGAAAATGGACGATACCTGGTGGGAGGGTGGTTCGATGTTTATGACCCTCATCCAGTATTGGTATCTAACCGGCGACAGCCAGTTCAACGACGACATCCAGGAAGGCATGTATTGGCAAAAGGGCGAAAATGACTTTTTCCCAAGCAATTACTCCCAGTACCTGGGTAACGATGATCAAGTATTCTGGGGATTAGCGGCGATAACCGCCGCGGAAGTGAACTTCCCAGAAAGAGACAATGAGCCCTCGTGGGTTTCCCTGGCTGAGGGTGTCTTTAATGGACAGATTCCTCGCTGGGACATGAGCAGTTGCGGTGGGGGTCTGCGATGGCAGATCTGGCCCTACCAGAGCGGGTATGGTTTGAAGAATGCCATCTCCAATGGGGGCTTGTTCCAGCTGTCAGCGCGTCTGGCACTATACACGAAGAACGCGACCTATGCCGAGTGGGCTGAGAAGATTTGGGATTGGAGTGCGTCTACGCCGCTATTAAGGAAAAGCTGGGTTATCGCGGATACTACTTCCACCGCTGCAGATTGTAAGGATCACGGTGATCACCAATGGACTTACAATTATGCTACGTATATCTCCGGTGCGGGCTATATGCACAACTACGTATGTCTATCCCTTGTCCCCAACAAGTTGACCATCCCGAGTATTCAAATTAACTGATTTTTTAGACCAATGGCACCGAAAGCAAATGGCTCGAAGGCGTGACAGGGCTGATCAAGGCATCTGATCAGTTTTTCCCAGACTCGGCTTCGAAACAAGTGATATCCGACATTACCTGCGAGCCAATCAACAAGTGTGATCGCAATCAGAAAACCTTCAAGGCCTATTTTACTTCCTGGCTCGGATTCATGTCGCTGATAGTACCGGCCAATACCACGACGGAGGTAATGGCGAGATTCAAGAGCTCCGCTGTCGCTGCTGGCCAACAATGCTCCGGCGGAAGCGATGGGAAGCATTGTGGAGTTCGTTGGACGAAGAAGGCAGAATGGGATGGGACTATGGGTTTGGAGCAGCAGATGTCTGTCTTGGGTGTCCTTAATTCTGTCATGGTCCCATTCAAGGCACAGGGACCTTATAATACTGATAATGGTGGGACATCCCAAAGTAACCCACATGGGGGCACCAATACCAAAGATACCTTGGGGCCTGAACCTATCGCGACAGGTGATAAGGTTGGCGCGGGGATATTGACAGCGGTCTTCGTCATACTCTGGATCGGGGCTATATCGTGGATGATTAGAGGCCAGTAAAAACATGTACGTTTGAAATTTTGATATCCGGAGAAAATGTAGCTATTTTGTGATGTTTTCTGATGCTAAAACCTATTCCCAATGATAGATTCAGCGAGATAGCAAGCAGGACTGGGCATAATCAGTAGTCATTGAAAAATCCGAAGTCCAATGCACGTTTTTCATATTGCAATGTTTTCCTCAGCACAAACAAGCCAACCGTGATTCTACGTAGGGCATGGTTCTGATGCACTAGCTAGATGATTTGTTAGAATCATGACGTAAAGGTTATCAAAGACGAGACGGAAGAGTATTAATACAGCACCGCCAACGATATACTAACTTTTCTCCCGACACGTTTCCTGGCAGAAAGCGTAATTTCGAGGTCCGTGGAGGAATAAGGGGAGGGTGAAAAGTTGGGCGCGGGGACTAGGAGACTTCCAGGATTTGTACCCTGGTGTAAAAGACTATGCTAAAGATCCCACCGTCTTACGCCAAGCAGCATAAATCAAAAAGTATCATGCAGGCAGGCAGACAGAGACCTGTGATGTTGTCACAGCATTATGACCTACAAAATATACGGTACTGTCACTCTGTAAGTGATTCCATGATGAGCTAAAGAGGACACCTAGGATAACTAACGAAAGGTTTGCGCAAAATAGAGAGCAGAGGCTGAGGAGGCCTGGCCGACCTTAAGCGATTAGCAAAGAGGGGGCCCGAATAATCGCAGTTTCTGTAAACTAAAGGCAGATGGTCTGACCCTAGTATAGCTGTGGGACTGTATATTGCAACTTCTAGCAGACATATGCTTTCGTTGATCTATAAATATTCCGGCACGAACACCTAGAAATGACTTCATAAACTCCTACTCGATCTAGTCCTCGCCTAAATACCGAAACGAACCACTCGGTGTCTAATAAAAACCAATCTATAAGAAGCAAGGTCGATATAAATCAAGCTTAGTGAAGATAGCATCTAAGTATAGAAAGATATGCGACACATATGGATATCTTAGGATTCGCAATTGAGAAATGGGTCTAGTATGTTTTTATTAGTGGATAGAGTACTTTTCATCTCTAAGGCATTAATAGTTACACGGCAAAAGCCATACACCATTCTCTATTCACCACTCACTCACCTATAGAACGCTTATCCCGACCATGACCATGGTGTATTTAGTGAGAGAGGTGGTTATTCCCCCTTACACTCGTAATGGACTTGTATGCCCCGCATCTGAAGCAGGAATTTTAAACATGAAAGCGTTTGACCGATCGGAAAAAGTAACCACCGGCCCCCTATTCCCTGGGGGTTTGAGCTCGCACTGCAATGCCTATCCTAGGGTGTCCCTCAGTATGGGCGAAAAGTGGGTCAGGGGGCGTGATCCCATTTCGTTTCAAGGTAGGGTGCTTATAAATAGTGACCTTTGGATGACACAATTAACCCCCGAGCTCCGCACCCCAGAACACCGTAGCAAATGCGATATTTACAACTCGATATTTCAACAAACATAAGTTCATTTGGTTTAATTAATCGTATGCAGCTATTTACACACATAGTAAATAATAAGAATCAATATTAGAAAGATAGTTGGTTGCATTACCAGGCAGTAACTCTCAGAGAATACAATCAGTGTTATATTCTAGTCTATCTTGACTTAATCGTCGCTATCAAAGACAGTTTGCAGGAACCTAAAATTACGGGCGAGTACCTCGAAGGCATTCAAAGAGCCATGCAAAAATATGATGCAGAGCTCAGAGAAATCAATCAGTTTGTAAGCTTTCCGATTCTAACGTGCCACGAACAATATTCTGACCACCCTAGATCTGGACAAATCCCGAGCTTTCTTATGAGGAGTACAAATCGCACAACAGAATCTGTGCTATGTCTAAAAGCCGTGAGGCTGAAGGATATAAGGTTCGGCGGAGTGCCTATAGGTTAAAAACTTCTTTCTTGATTGGGTATACTGATAGCTCTGGAGGCAGAGTTGCGGCGTTCAAAGCCGAATATGATGCACTTCTGTGAATTGGACATGGATGTGGCCGTAATATGATAGCAACGAGCGCCATCGCAGCAATCTTTCTACTTGCGAAACTTTGAAGCACGAATGCACCAATGGGCACGGTTTCACCGTCCGTCTTCTAGGCACCCCTTCCGAAAAGGCAGCAGGTGGTAAGATCCACATGATAAAGAAAGGCGCATAAGAGGATGTGTTTGCTTGCCTCATGCTGCATCCCATTTCTCCTCCACCTGGGGATGACAGGTTACTCAGTATAGAATGCAACTAGGAAGACTTTGAAGCATCAGTTTTAAGAAGTCAAGCATTCATTTAATTTTCCATGTTGGGGTAAAAATTTATTACCCCTCGATTGGTCGTCCTGACCTGGAGTGTGTGGATCATACTAGGAGCTTTAATGCAAAGTTAAATTAATCACGCTGATTCCGGGCATTGAAAATCTTAGTGCGCTACTTTATGATAGCCCGGGGGGACCAAGATCGACGCGACGAACCGGGCAGGTATTGCCTACACAGGTGAATATGTTGGGGGTGGCGCTGACAGACGTAGAATATAGGGATTTGTTATCCATGAAATTCGAGTTTGGCCCAGCATCTAGAATTGCAAATTTTTAATTGCAACTAGGGAACATCCGAAGCCCAGGTGATAGGGTGTCAGCCGTTCAATGAATTGTGAGTTGGAGTATCAAAGAGTAGCGTAATGGAAATTAAGAATTGAACGCTAAATCGGCCGCAAGTCTAGCGGCGCTTCCTTCCCAATGGCCGCCCCAGGAAGGCGGGGCGAGACCCACAAATTCGCCCAGAGTACTCGCCGATCTCCAGTGCTAGTACATTTTTGATGGTTCAAATGTGTCATAAAACTACTTTTTCTTCTGCGAATGGTCCTAACAACCTCGGGGGTTCCAATTGATTCGGGTCTGTTCGGGTCCATCAATTCGGAAAGAAATTGTATATAATGTCTTCCCTTTAAAGAATGAAGAAAAGTTAGGATTTGTGATAGATTCGCCCTTATTGCCAATATACCGATGTTATCCGAGGAAATTTCAACTGTGAAGGGAAATGAGGCAATGGTCTCGAAACCAGCACAATCGATCATGAAGCCTGGAGCTTATCTCGCAAACCCCGTAAGAGCCTTGAATCACGTGGGGTTTGGATGAAGTGTACGTACTAACATGCTATCTTCGTCTAAATAGGCGCCTTTGGCGATGGGTGGTTTTGCTACCACTTTTTTATCCCTGTCTTTGGCCATGATGAACTTCCGTGGGGTATTCACACAAACAATCTTCATGGGTGATCTTTGCTTCGTTGCTGGAATTGGTCTACTTATTTCCGCACAGTGGGAGATGGTTCGAGGGAATACATTCTCTTACACGGTTCTTTCTGCATATGGTTTGTCTCAAGAAACAATTTTTCGTATGGCTTGGCTAATTTGGAATCTCATCGTTAAGCATTGTTTTATGGCGGTTACGGAGTAATTTTGATTCCCTCATTAGGCATCGCTGATGCGTATGGCGGTTACACTGCGGAATATCACAACGCGCTCGGATTCTTTGTTCTAAGTAAGTAGCGTGTTTTTGTTGTGTCATATGTCCTTTCACTGACATTTCCCTCTAGTATGGGCGGTTTTCAATCTCTTTTTCCTGCTGGCCAGCTGCGCTCTGTGGGTTTCTCCAATCTAAATACTCCTAATACGAAAGCTAATATTCCCGAACAGGAACATTGTCTACATTATTCTGTTCCTCGGACTTGAGCTATGTCTCATTCTCGATGCTGCATCCAGTTTTGCGTTGGGCGACGGGTTGGTTGAAACTAGTGCGAATCTTATCACCGCTGCTGGTGCATTCGGGTTCATTGCTAGCTTAGCTGGATACTATTCCGTCCTACAATCCCTCTGTGAAGACTCTCTGCCTTTTTCCGTTCCGATGGGTGACACTTCTAGAGCTTGGAAACGTTGGTGTAAAAAGACAGTGAAGAGCGAAGAAGACATTGTGTGAAAGTAACTTTTCGTACTTCAAATGTTGATGTGGATTATACTATTAAAAAAATCTAACCACTTTAGATCCCTACAAACACATTTGATCTATCCTAGACTGACTTTAAATATAAATCGGGTATAAAGAGACGTGTTCTCTTTAACTAGCAAAAATTTGAAGTTAAAGCCAATATAAGCAATGATGCCGTTAGTCGAATATACAGTAGAGCAGAACTAGTAGGCTCCCGATGGTTCATAGGTAATATAGTCTGCTGCATTAGACACGGCTTCTTTAAGCCTAGTCTCTGTCCTCGACGATCATCCTTTCTAGGCAGACTAGGCGAAACCGATCTCTTCGATATCAGATGCCTTAGATCCCGATCGAGTTACGAGTCGGTTCGTGGTATTCTTATCGGGGTAATTGTCGCCATAGTTTATAGCGCTAAATCTAACGGTGCGGGTATGGAATCTTCTAGTAGGAAGTCCCTCACCGTTAGGTTTATAGGCTAATGGCATACATATCGTGCCACTCGTGGTATAGGGCCGAAGTGTTGATGAAATTATGGGTAACGCCCTTATAGGTAGCATGAACGTAGCTAACCTCGTCCGCGGCGCGTTTGATAGGAATCAATGCATCGGATGTGCAGGTACCGCCATAGTCATTGATGACAGCACCAATACCAATGGACAAAGCATCCCCAATGCACCCCGTGGCAGCTTGACTAGGCATGAAATAGCCACAGGCAATCCAGGTAAGGCCTGCTCGAATGCTCGAGGCATTGACATATCATCTGAATGAGAGAGCTTGAGCTCCACGGCCATCATCAAGCAGACATATATTTTATAGCCCAAAATGGCAAGTTGAACCACAACATTAAGGCATCAATCTGTACTGGTCATGGGCGGTACCGGGCTGACAGTCCCGAAGAGATCACTGAAGCGCAGCTTCATCCAGAGCTGGAAGCGAATAAGAGACCCTTCCACCAGAATAAGAAGAGAGGGAGATGCGGGCTAGCCGACAGATTGCTAAAGAGGATCCCTTACACATCAATGAGTGCTCAAAGATTTAGTGAAGGTTCAGGTTTAGAACCGAGGGATGTGAACGGACATGTGGCATGGCCACTCCAACTGTGTTTGCAACCATTTTGGTTCTTGCATCCATTCATGAAATGCTCTCTTGGGGCCTTTTTCCTAACAATCGTCGGCCGCTAGTGAGAGCTCCGCATCCGCTTGACACCGAAATCGTGAGACTCCTGGACCAGGGTCAGTGCACCAGGCCCCTAATTGATTGTGCGGCTGGTCGTGCGTAACCGTTTTCTGCGGTAGAAGCGCGATTGTCGCCAAAAGATACTTTCAATCGGCCGCGAAATCCAAAGCCGCCTGGTCCATCCATTGGCGCTCCAGTTCTCGCCCGATCCACGACGTGCGCCACCCGAGGTTTTTCTCTACACGAGACAGAAACCGTAGTGATCCCTGCTGCTCAGCGGGTTGTCGCAAGCAATATCCAACTGGATACGGATCAGAAAGCCCCAAGTGTTCCATTGAGTAAAGGACTTACAGCGTTGGAGCAAGTGCGAGGCGATGAAGTAGCTGTTTTGAACACTTTCATTCGATAACGAAAGTCCAATGGCCATCACAAGATGGTTGCCAACCGTTTTCTATTTCGGATATTAGCGATGAAACATGACAGGGTGGTGGGCCGGAACAGACTCCTGCGACGCGTCGGGCTCGCGCCATTTCATAATCCGTCATCCGCTGGGACGGCGCATCGGATAATGTGAGAAATATCCTAGCGGCGTGGTAATATTGCAAACCAACCACTGGAAAAGAATTCGTTAGCTTTGCATTGCAGTAGGTAAAGTGCAAGCAAGACAGACCGGCGGGGGGCGACATGATCCATAATTCAGGAAAGGGTCGATCCGTTGACAGATTGGGGGTAAATATCGCAGTGGTTGCCAGGACTTCGGCTTATTGCGGTGCCACTCCTCCACGCAGTCTGCCAGTCGCTGCCAGCTTTTCCGGTCAATGGCGTACCCCGGCGCGGTGCAACATAGCTGGGTGATGCATGCGCAGAAAAATATGATGACATTGGCGCGGGCCGCATCATCATCGCGACGGAAGACCGAGGAACGCTCATAATTCCGCAGATCCAGTTGTATTGGCTCATACTGAGCTATGGATGAGTAGATGGCTTGGCGCAGGAATTGCCAGCTCACTGCCTCGGCCAATCCCCCGCACGATGCAGACTGAGACATGAGATTGAGCAGGTGGTTAGACCCGAGGAGGTGGCATTTCCTGTCCGTCGTCCTCTCGAGCTCTTCGTAGAATCGAAGTACAACCACGGTGATGAAGAGATTATCGTCATAATTCTCTGGTTGATTCAGGGCGACGATGAGCAGTTCCAGACACTCCCCGTGAAAGGCCGACGCTTCACAGTCGCTACGATTTGTCAAGATGGCATCATGTCTGGCAGCAAGTGCCAGGAGAGCTTTCAGCAGCATTGGTTCCTCTAATGCTCGGCGTGGGACTTCGGTGCTGAAGTGAGACTGAGGGTCACAGATATCCGCCTGCTGCCGTTAGGCCACTCTCCATGTCAGTTGTCGGTGGAAAACTCACCACGGCTGCGATCTTTTGAATATAGGAACGAATCAAGTATGCCTCTCGCGGGGACGGTACCGAGACATCGCTTGGTGAGTGGCTGGGAGAATCGTTCGAAAAGACATCGGTCGGAACTGATTCAACCGCTTCTGGAAGCGTCGGTTGACTTTCGTCTGGTGGTGGATATGGCTGCTCAAGGCCGCGGTCCTTGTCGTCGGGCTCAGGGGGCGAGAAGTCGTCGGTCTCGCGCACGAAAGTCACTGGAGGGGCTTTTTGTCACTAGGAAAGCTGGTCATCCCACCACAAGGAGGGCTTACCTGGCTGGGAGAACCCCACCCAGACCTGTTGTTCATCCCAGGCGAGGTCGAAGCGGGCCGGAGAACTATCACACTGCTGGTATATATGGCGCACAGGCTTGAACTGAAAGCGCGGTTCGAGATGACATGGCCGGCCCAGGCGCGTACAGCGAGAGCATGACGAGGCGCCGACGGGCACTACACAGCGGACGTGACGATGCCGACAGCGAGCACAGCCCTTGGTCACGCGCATATCGCAGCAGTGGATGGTTGGTTGTGGGAGGAGAAAATCATACACAGGAGCGAAAGAGAGGCGACCGTGGCGACCGGGATGGATTAGTTAGCGTAGTCCACTGTTCTAAGGTCATCTAGTGAGCAGACCCACATCTGACTCCAGCAAAACACTGTAGTTGAAGCTATCTTATCAACACGGAAGAGTCCAGCCAATCGGCCGCTCTGAAGAGCTAAACATGCTTCCTCAAAGTTCGGGTCAGTGACGGTCGCTGTGGCCCAAGGGAGGTGTCTTCTCGTCCTATTTAAAAACAATCCTATTCCATCCTCCGAGCCCTGTCGTGTTAAGCAGTCCAGTTACTCCTTACAGTAGTCCTTAAAGTCGGCTCTAGAAATCCGGGGTAGCCCCACAACCACACCATGGGTCCACCTGGTCCACGGCGGACCGAAACTGTCTACTTCCGTGGCCAGTCAAAAGCTTTCACCACTTGCGCACCTTGTTCCTACCATGGACAGCAGTCATCGATTTACCTAATATACCGAACCTGGACGTACCCACAAGCACATCAGTACGGGGCTCTAGTATTACCTGAAAAGGCTACGTCTACTATTTTTGTCTTGAAATTAGCCGTGATGGAAGGTCTAAATTACTCTTCCATTCATGGATTATTCCAGTTCCAAGTCTCCAATTTCATCTCGTTCAGGGCTAGAATATCCCATCGCATCGATCCTCTTCTTTATCTCAACAATCACAGTCTACTGTTGCGCGTTCGCCCAGGCAGTTGGCCAGACCAGTATAGTGCTTGCCAGCATGGCGATGGCAACTCCCATATCGCTCACGGGGATCCATCCCAGTAAATACCCGGGAATAGTCAAGTCCAAACAGTCAATTACAAGCCGGTTCAAGAGACATACAACCAATGGGGCGGGTTTCGAGGTTGAGGAGTTACCAGATGCCTCCACTTTCGTTTTCTCATCCACGGAGCCGTTTGGAGTGCTGGGCGCCGCCGGGCCAAAGACGAGATCCGAGACGGTTTTAGCAATTGCTATGCAGATAGCATAGAACCAGAACTTGTAGGCTTCGAGCAGAATGGGCGTATACCACGACACCAAGAAAATATTCATGTCATGTAGCTGCGCTTTATATTTAACACTGTGCTATAATCACGGACGAATTGAAGCTGCGGCACTCACCATCGTTGTTCCCTCCAGAACAAGATACATCCCCAAACAGCTGGATCCGACCAGCTCCATCATCGCTGTCCTGTTTCTTACGGAACACCCTGCGGCAAGAATGTCTTGGACATTTTGGAAACAATCGAGAAAAGAGAAGAAGCGGAGATAGTGCCTCGCTGAAAGGAAATCAGTACTGGAATGTCACTGAAGAAACCGTAACGAAACCCCACCTAGCCCTATCTGCGATGCCGCAACTGAGCATCTCATAGCAGTGGCACTATCGAAATCAATTTCAATCCCGATAAGGGCCAGGCTATGGAGCAGGCGGAGGGTCAAGTCCAGGCCGGCTGTGGACTTGGTGAAATTGGCCAGTTGTTTGGGGAGCGATGCCCTTGAATGGACCGGGGATAATTGAGCCATTTCAACTAAGCCTAGTGTTTTGATGAATTGGAGGCACAGCGATATCTTGAAGAATAATAAGATAATAATATACCAACAGTATCATGTTGACAACCGTAGCCCTATAAGATCATGAACATGAATCAGAGCGCTGGTACGCATGTTCTCCGCGGGAAAGGCAGTGAATAATCAAATACACGAAATACATTATCTGACAGGCCGTACTGTTGTGTAGTCGGTTACGCCACCGACTGTCAGTTCCCAACCCGGAAAAAGAGGGACTCAAAACTCAAGAGGCGCTCATGAAAGAAGATGACTGGGTTCGGGGAGGTGGGGCGATAAGAGCCAAGTTCGGGTTCAGAGTGCGGGGATCTTCGAGATGCAGGAGGGAGGCGTGTAGCGGCGTATCAGGAAAGTTGCTCCTTCGCTCTTCGATCTTGCATGAAGTTAATAACTCCGGCATTTTCTATTCAATTTCAGATCTTCACCAAACAATACTTCCTCCTTTTCTTCTCCTTCTACTAACTTAACCCTCTTGCCCTATTTTGTCTTTGCCTTGAGGCACTTCGACTGTCATGGAGGCCGCCACACACTCTCCAGGGGATGAACGCAAAGACGTCCCCAAGGCAATGAACAGCCTCGATCACAGCCTGCATGAAAAGAATGACAGCGAGCAGGCCTTGACCTCTGAGCTCATCTCCGCTGGCTCGGAACACCTCCAACGGCAACTAGGTGGAAAGGAAATCCAGCTGTTGGCGGTAGGTGGCGCTATTGGAACGTGTAAGTGAGCCTTATCCATAAAAAAAAAAATAACACAATTGGCTTACTTAGTTTCATAGCTCTATTCGTACAGATGGGCGCAAGTCTACCGAAGGGTGGCCCGGCAGGCCTTTTCTTGGGCTTTGTTGTTTATGGGACCGTCATCTGGTGTGTCAACCAATGCTTCGGTGAGCCTTCCCATTTTCTATTCTCTAAGCACAGCGCACGCTGATAAGGCCGTCTTGTGCAGCCGAAATGGTTACCTACCTCCCGATCGCTTCCCCCTTCATCCGCCTGGGTGGATTTTGGGTGGATGACGCCTGGGGGTTTGCGATGGGCTGGAACTACTTCTTCCTTATGGGTACGTACCAGTCCTTGGTGCCTCTGTATTTTTCTTCTCTGACTGAATTCGCCACGCCCAGCATTTGCCATCCCGTATGAAATAACGGCGATCAATGTTCTTCTCACCTACTGGACCGACAAAATTCCGGTGGTCGCGGTTGTGATGGTTTGCTTGGTGATTTTTGCGTACGTCACCTACCCCAATCGCAGTGATATGGCAGACAAATTAATTGGGCGTTGCAGGGGGCTCAACGGGCTCGCAGTCCGGTACTTTGGAACTGCTGAATTTTACCTGGCCATATTCAAGGTCTTCCTTATGATAGGACTCATTTGCTACACTTTTGTCACCATGGTTGGTGGCAATCCGGAGCACTGGGCCTATGGGTTTACCTACTGGAAAACCCCCGTAAGTCGAAGCTAGCCATTTCACGCTGCCTTGCTAATAATCATGATTGAAGGGCGCGTTTGTCGAGTACCTCGCTCCTGAAAACACCGGACGCTTTCTCGGATTTGTTTCTTGCGTCATTCAGGGCTCCTTCACGTGAGTATCCGCTATATATCCCGCTTCCCTGACAGTATGGCTGATGGTATCTATCATGCAGTATGGTTGGTCCTGAGTTCATCTCCATGACAGCTGGCGAGGCAGAGAACCCTCGTAAATTAATGCATCGGGCTTTCTCCTCTTTTGTCTGGCGTCTCCTCATCTTCTTCATTGGCGGCGCTCTCTGCGTCGGGATTGTCATTCCTTACAATGACCCGCTTTTGCTCAAATATATCAATGGAGATGAGGGCGGCACTGGAGCTGCGTAAGCCCCATTCCCCATCCCAGTACCAGCCCTGAACACACAGCTTACCCATGCTCTAGTTCTCCTTACGTCATTTCAATGGTCAACTTTGGAATCAAAGGACTTCCATCTCTGGTCAACGCTCTGATCATGACCTCCGTTCTTTCTTGTGGAAACAACGTTGTTTATTCGGCGATCCGTACACTTCATGGCCTAGCAGCGGACGGCAAGGCGCCCGCGATATTTGCCAAGTGCAATAGGTTCGGTATCCCGGTCTACTCAGTCATCGCGGCGCTTGCGTTCTGCCTTCTTTCCTTGCTGCAGCTTGGCAATGCCTCTGCCACTGTCCTCGACTGGCTGGTGGGAATATGCACTGCATCATACATGATCAACTACTTCTCCACAGTAGTGACGTACCTGCATTTCTACGCCGCTCTCAAACGCCAGGGTATCGACCGAAACACTTTGCCATACCGGGGATACTTTCAGCCCTATGCGGCGTACTATGCTGCGGTGATGACATTCGTTGTGGCCTTGGTCCTCGGGTATACCGTCTTCATTGATGGCCATTGGGACATCTCGACGTTCTTCACCTCTTATCTGATGATTGGGTTTTCCATCGTGGCTTTTGTGTTCTGGAAGCTCTTCAAGCGGACACGCTATGTTCGGCCGGGAGAGGCGGATCTTCAGCTTGGAGGCATAAAAGCCCAGATTGACCTCTATGAGGCATTGTACGAGGCGCCGACGAGAGGCAAGGTTTCGGGTTGGCTCAACAGCTGGTTCGAGTAGCTTGGATTTCAATTCTTGAGAACACAGATTGGTATGTAGTGACTGTTTCCATTGGTTTATTCTATTCTCTATATCATAACTAGTACCATTTCCACTATAAGAACGAGTTCGTTTGAATTGATTTGCCGAAGCCGGTTCTGCAGAAAGTTTTCAAATTTGTAGGGTATGGATGGAACTATAGAAAGTGCTAGAAGGCTGCCTATTCTATACAGTTATATTCTACTAAAGCATCGAGTAGTAAGGCTCTAGGATTTTTTCCATCTTTCTAGTATGTAAAGTAATATGAGATGCATCTCATATTTCACACTTTCATTAAAGCACAACATCATCGGCATTCAAAACCAAACTCGCAAAAAAAAGAGGCTCTCGTACGAACTCATCGGCACGAATAAATTCATTCGTCGTATGCGCCCGGTTAAGGTTTTCCACCAGAGTGACAGGGGTGAATCTGTAGATGTTCTTGGTCAAGGCCCAGAAAAATTTAGTGTCTGTGTTGGCTGGCATCAGGTATGGTGTGACGATAACCTCATCATCCGCACCCAACCGTTTGAGAACATTCTTGATGGTACCAGACAAGATGCGGAAGGATTCGGTATCAACTGGAGAAACGGGAGCTGGCTCTAAGGCGTCCACTCCAAAGAGACAGATTTTCCGTTTATCCGAAGCGCTACATGGGGAATGAAACCCTTCAAATACCATTCCGTGCTTTTTAGCAATTGGACTGATAAGAGATTCGTAGTGCGTCTCAACCTGAGCAATAGAAGTTTCGACAGCCAGGCGCACGTTGACCAATGTAGACGCTGTTTCGGGGATGGCATTGATCTTGACGCCACCGTTAATCTTTCCAACAGACTGGCTTGTCTGGAAATAATACCTCATATCATGCAGTGTCTGGGCCAGTTGCTCCTGGCTGATACTGTCGTCTTGGGTGGCCATGCTCAACTTGCGACGAACTGCCATCGGAAAGCTCGACACGGGAGCATGGACGGCGCCACACTCTAGGAATTGAAACATTGGATTCTTCGGAGTGATTTTTCCAGGGAACGGGTTGCTCTCAATTGCGACCACGATTTCTGACAGGATACCAATGACATTATGATCCGGCGGGTTACTCGCGTGCCCACCAGTTGACGAGACGTTGATCCCGACGTCCAGATAGCCCTTTTCTGCGACGCTGACCATGGCAAAAGTCTGGTCGAATTCTCTCTGGATACCCGTGCAACCCTCGTCCATGATCAAGTAGATCCCGTCGTCCCCATACTGCTCACGAAGGAAATTCGAGATAGGCCTTCCGCAATTCTCGCCACTAATCTCTTCGTCACAGCCAAACGCCAGAATTACCGTCCTTTTCGGTTCAAAACCACTCTTGATCAAAAGGTCCAAGCTCTCAATGATAGATATCAGGTAGCCTTTGTCGTCGGTAGCCCCACGACCCCAGATAATTTCGCCATCGTAGTGGCCGTCATAGGGCGGATGAGCCCAATCCTTGACGTTCTCCGCAAGCACTGGGACAACATCTTGATGCGCAAGCATGAGAATAGGCTTAGCCTCCAAGGGGGAGACGCTGCCTTCCCATGTCAGGATCAACCCGTGCGTGTTGACGTGATCCAGCTTCACGGTTCGAAACACTGTGGGATAGCTGACTTTGATATAGTTCTCCACTTGAAAAAATATATCCCATCTGTCGTCTTCGCCAATGGGCCCCAAGTCGTCATAGCTCTCAGCTGGGATCTGAATTATTCCAGAGAGCTTGTTGATGATCTCTCGGTGGTATTCCACAGAGTCGACTTTCTCACGAATATACTGTTCGACTCGTGTATTCTTTGGAGACAGCTTCGGCACTTGCTGGCATATCCCGGACCCTGTTCCAAGCCCGTACGTGTCCAGCTTGGGTGAGCTAGACGACTGAATGGAATTTTTGAAGAGTGCGATAAACGCTGAAACAAGGCCAATTACAATTGCGACGTGTATTAACCAAGAGCGACTTGAGCTCTTATCTCGCCGCTGATTGACGTGTGAAGGTTCGGTCATCGTTAGAAGCGTTGATTAAGTTAAACAAGAACAATATCGAAGATGGATGCGTGATAGGTTCGGATCATGTAGGACTTCGTCTGGGAAATATTTTGTCGTGTGATCTAGGCTTTAAACGTCTACGATTCAATGAGGTATTGTCAAAGTACTCTTCTTCCCCATATCCATTCATCCCGATTTTATACTAGTAGCTAAGCAGGTATCGTAGGTCAAAGAACCCGATAACAGGATCCAGGTTGCGGGGCGATAGTAATAATGGGAATTAAGTTCACGTATTAATGTAACCTTCTAAATGCGGTTAGATTAGAGTGTTATACCTATTATAGCATCTTACAGCGCGCAGTTAACCTAACAAGTATCTTACTCCACACAGTGGACCACATAGGAATTTTGCTCCGCCCGAAAAACCATGTTGATAAGTTATTGTACCCCTTATAGCTTATAATCTCAATAATGGTAAGCTCCCTCGGAAAGCCTGTTTAGTTTCCCGAGATACAGGAATATAGTCACTTTGAATCAATATTACTTACTTACGAGCCAGCCTTTGCCCGTTTCGCAGGAATTCTAGCAATAATGAAATCCTCAGTGGGTTCCCCCCCCCCCCCAGCCTTTGCTCTCAAACATTCACTGAGATTTATTTATTCTCCGAGGACGCAAGGTCAAGGATAAACCTTCCAAATTGAAGACGTCCATATATATTCCTAACAAAGGACACACCTCTACCAACTGCCAAGATGTTGAATTCCAAGGCATCACTATTACCGGCCGCCAATGAATTCCGCAGTGACACTTTCACCACCCCAACGCCGTCTATGTTGGCCGCTATGACGAACGCGTCGTTTGGAGACGACGTGTACCAGGAAGACCACATCACCACCGAATTCCAAAAGGAAATCGCACGATTGACCGGAATGGAAGATGCTCTGTTCATGCTCTCCGGGACCATGGGCAACCAGATCGGAGTCCGGGTTCATCTCAACCAACCTCCGCACTCTGTGCTGTGCGACTACCGCGCCCATGTCTACGCCGAGGAAGGGTCTGGGTTGGCGGTACTGTCTCAAGCCATGGTGACGCCCGTACACCCGGCCAATGGCATATACTTGACTTTGGACGATGTTATGAAGTGGACCGTCCTAGGAGAGAATATTCATACGGCACCGACGAAGGTGATCAGCCTCGAGGTGACCATAGGTGGAGTGGTGACTCCCTTGGAGGAGATACAAAACATCTCCGAATTCGCACGTGCCCACGATATCAGAATTCATTGCGACGGGGCTCGCTTGTGGAATGCGTCTGCAGCTACTGGTTATTCTTTGGCCGATTACTGCCAGCATTTTGACACCGTGTCAATGTGTGTGTCAAAAGGACTAGGCGCACCGGTTGGTGGAGTTCTTGCCAGCACCAAGTCCAACATCAAGCGGGCTAGGTGGCTGAGGAAGCAGCTGGGGGGCGGCATTCGACAGGCCGGTGTTTTAACCGCTCCAGCCTTGGTAGCCCTAGAGGAAGTCTGGCCTACCATGAAAGAGACGCATGAGAAAACCAAGAAACTGGAGAAAGACTTGGCGGCGCTTGGTATTGTGCCACAAATCCCGGTTGATACAAATTTCTATTTCATCGACGCCAAGAAGTCAAGCGTGAGTATGGATATTTTGTTAGAGCAATGTGAGCGGTTCAATGTGAAGCTTATGGATGAGCGGATTGCTCTGCATCATCAAATCAGCGACGAGGCAATTGAGAACCTTAAGGCTGCCATTGCCGAGACAGTGAGAATAACCAAGGCCTTACCGCCGGGCTATGTCTCCAAGGTTCCGCCGGGTGGGTATGAAAGCACCTCGAAAATGAATGAACACAGCTAGTTGGTGGATCTCAGTGTTTTATATCTAACGCGCAGAGGCTCACTGGTAGAGCTATTGTTGATATTGATGTGGTTTTTTTACTGCAATTGCACGAACTTTGTAAAGTTCGCTCTATATGCCTGAGTGTCTCTGATCAATAGTCAATTATATGAAGGACGGCGTATCTGTGTACGGCCGTTAGGAAGTATCTTTATAAATATAATGCCCGTAGAATCGTTTCAAACCAAGCACCAGATTTGAAGCGACGCCGTACAGTAGGAAAGTACCCTACGCTGGCTAAATATGATACAAGGTTGCGATCTAATAATCTAACTGACATTCAATAACATTTACGTGTGCGTGACTACTGATAATTATATAAGATGCCTCACCAAAACAACCAGAAAAGTGACAGCTCAATGAAAGAAAAGATCAGAAGAAACATAGGACAGGAATACACTAACGAAGAACTACGATTTAACGGGTGTCGATTGATCGACATAATTAAGTACTCTGGGTCGGGTCACCCAGTGCAGCTGCCGGTTTGTAGTTGCTGAAATCGTATTCCACATCATAGTCCTCCTCATCAACATCCCCATCGCTGAGCTCGACATCTTGGAGATTCTCCCCATCATCGATCTCATCAGCGGTGAACCCGTAGTCCTCTTTTCGGACTTTCTTCCAAGCGGCAATGGTTTGTCTTCGGGTAAGACAGAAAGGCAGCTTGGAGAGCGCAACACACCCATCCTGAGTTACTTCCACGGTCTGGCCGATTGAGCTGGCAGTATCAGTGGCCTTGTCCATCAGGATGATATGGATAAAGAACACCATGCCCGACTGTGCCACCACGTTCTGGCCGCGCACAAACATGGGAAAATCCATCCACGTAGGGGAAAAGGTTGCACCCAAGCTGTAGCCGCAACTGTTGAAACGTTGGTCCCGGAAGCCGTTCTCATCCGCAACACGAGCGTAAGCCTCGAACACGTCGCCAATCTCTCGGCCTGGTTTGAGGGCCGCCATGGCGGCCTCCATTTGAAGCATGTTGACCCGGTGCATTTCTCGCGCCAGCTTGGTGATACCGCCAATGGGAATTGTGCGCATAAGACACGTATGATAGTGCTTGTAAGCTGCGGCATGCTCGAGCGTGAGCTGTCGATCGATCTTATCTTTGCCCGTCGAGTAACGGGTGAGAACGGCCTTGTTGCCCGAAACAAGGATATTCTCATTGGCAGGATCATCACCACCACCCTCGTAGACCGTGCCGACAATCTCCCGCCATAGGTCGCCTTCATAGGCCCCGGGTTTGGCCAGCTTGAGGGTACGGACGAGGGCGAAGTCGGCGAGATAAGCGGCCTTTCGAACCTTGCGCATTTCAGCTTCCGATTTGATAATGCGGAGCTCCCGGGTGAACAGATCGCTGTGATCCACTAGCGTGCAAAGATCGTCCACGGCTTCTTCTAGTGCCTTTCCTAGGCGGTGCGTCAAGGAGCAGGAGTCAGGTTCATACCCAATTCGCTTGGATGGCGAGTTGATTCCAAATTCCTTCAGGACCTTGGGGACTAAGGACACGGGGTTGCTTGCGGCGTTGTCGGATCGAATGAGGATATCCCTTTGATCCAAGATTGAAGTGTAGAGAGCCTGGCGCAGATCCGGGATTCGAGTGATCAGCCGCATGGAACCATCCTTGTGGAAGTACATGGCTTGGAAGAAGACATAGCCGAAGGTATCAAAGCCAGTGAAGTAGTAGAGAGATTCTTGCTTCGTCATGAGAAAACCATCGAGGTTTTCTCGCTCCATGAGCTCCAGAGCCCGCTGTTGACGCTCTTTGAACTCAGCCTCTGAAAAGTATAGGGCTTTTTTGAAAGGCTGGGCATTTTTGATCGGTGCCATCTTTGTCTGAAGAGGTTAGAAGGAGGAAATCTAGTGGCTGAGCTGTTTGATTCCAAGGAAATAAGAGCATACGAGCTTTTTTATACCCAGTCTGCTGCCCCTCATGTCGCACCTCACGTTGAACCAACATGGGAAGATAGTCCGCTTGTCCGAATTAGGTGTATTGCTCCGCTCGCTCCATGAGTCTAGGCATAGCAGCAGCCATGTCATGTGAGAAATGCCCCTCAGCGGGGGCAAAGCGTAAGCACAAACTAACGTATTACATCCTAGGACCGCGCATCATCTGAACCTAAGTGAATGCGCAGGGAACTAACCGATTGGGACTGGCGCCTGCGGGCACCTAAGATAAGATACAGCGAGCTCCAGACTTAGTTTCTTCTTCAGTTTAGTACCTTCGTGAATAAAAGGCGTAGGATATCCCTAGATCATCACTACGTGGTCCGAAATACAGTCTATGAGTATAGGTGTCGACACGTCAGCGTTGATTCACCGCAACGCTACCCTTCGTTGTCATATAGCCTCTTCCAGGAGAACCCTGAAGTTCTCCAAGCATCAGTCTATATTTCTTCAATACCACTTGCTGCCCAGGCATCTTCATCTTAGCTAGTTGACAAGCTCTATTCTGCAAACAATAGAACCCCTCTTACTTTACAATCAGCCCCCCGGAAGCTGGTCCTAAATGATGCTTGTGAAGATGTCTTTACCAGCTCGCAAGAGAAGGCCAGACAGAAGCTCGAGGCGAAGAAGGAACCTGATTGACTTTGATGGTACCACGGCTTGAAGTTGGAAGTTGATGCACTGCATATGATTTCAATCTGGAAATAATCTTTCATAGCCGCAACCGCTTTTGAGTTTTACAAGAAGCGTTTCTCGTCTAATCCTAGAGGCTTCGGCATTACGTCCCAACCAACCTCAACTCCCTCAATGGAAGCGGAGTGGCGAATGGCAACCATCTTTCCAAAACCTGTTTCTCGGGTTTCCAAATAGTCCTCCGGTACATCTTTCGTACATGTGAAATCCGGCGCATCGAAGCCAGTTTTCCCTTCAAACTGGCCAAGCGACCGCAAGTATTTCATGACACCCGCGAGTGACACATCGACTTGCCAGGACCCGCCTTCTGTTGCTTGCTTGTAAAGGGCCGCCATGATACCAGCAGCCAGGAAGTAACCACCAGCGTGATCCAATGCTTGACAAGGGGTAGGACGGGCCGCTTCCCCGGCGCCGAAATGTTGGGCTTCGGAGACATTCATGCCAGAACATGTCTGAATTAGGGAGTCAAACCCGCGTCTATCTGACCAGGGACCCTCTGGCCCATAAGCCGACATATTTGCGCAAATAATGTTACGCTCCTTGAACCGCGCGGACAAGGATTCACTAGAGAATCCGAGGTCTGCCAGACCTCCTGGGCGGAAGCCTTGCACGAATACGTGTGCCTCTGCAAGTAGCTGTGAAAGTTCATCTTTCCCCGACTGAGATTTCAAATCAAGCTGAACAGTGCGCTTACCTCGGCCAAAGTCACGATCCATAGTTGGGAGATCAGGGAGACCAGGGCTAGTGACCCATAAGACGTCAGCGCCATGGGCAGCTAGCGTTTTCCCTGAGAGAGGAGCTGCAATTACGCGCGAGAGCTCAAGAACACGTAGACCGCGAAGGCATTTGTCTGAGCCTGACTGCATGGTCGAGGGCAGGCCAACAGGTCCATCACATAGCTTCTGTAGAGTGATAGGGAAATCCGCAATCTTATATGCCTGGGGTAGAACATCCCATTGAGAATATGACCGAAGGGCGGAAATAACAAGGTGATTATCGAAAGCAGCTGCCTCTAGATCAACCGAACACCATCTCTCAATCTTTAATGCCAGCTCTGCTCGAGAAGCATTTCGGTTGCAACCGACAAGAGCCAGAGCGCCGTCGCGATGGTTAGGGAAGGAGTCGTGCACACGCACGTAACCGTCAGATGTCTTATGTAAGCCGCCGATAGGACCCCATGGTGAAGGAGCGGGCTTGTCTGCTAGAGTGTAAAGTCTCTCAGACTTGAACTCAATAGCTGCATGTTGCAATGGAACCGACACCGTAGGAACTGCCAGGTTACTACGATAAGCATGAATCTGAGCAGCCAATAAGGCGGACAAGCCAATAGATGCCTGGGCGAGATGGGCGATCTTGAAGGATGACGGCAATCCAAGACCGTAGCCAGGAAGTTGGAGTTTTTCAAGCGAAGCGGCAGGTAGACCCAGTGTTGTCCAAAAATAGTCCACACTGTCCTTAGCCGAGAATTGGGAGCGATCCTGGGAGGGTGGTGACACGGCTGTGTTGCTGAGTGCACTGGCACCAGTGATATTGGTGGCAGCTGGCACGACAATGGTCAAAAGGGGTCCATGTTGCTGAGTGCCCAATGTGTCGCGTTCTCCCACTGTTCCCTGCTCCCAGGGTCGGCGAATAGTGCACTTCCATGCCAAAGCAGGCTCGAAAAACATATTGGTGATGATGTCTTCGGGTTGTAAGTGATACATTCTCATAACACACTCATTGGTCAGAATGTTCGCATGCTTAACACGCTTATAAGCCTCCTCCGTGTCGAACATGATATCGAATGTCATTTCAAAGGGACCAGAGTTCTTGGATCGAATGATTTTGGCGATGTCTTTCATTTCACACTTCCCTAGGGGAATCGGCTTCAAGGACAAAGGCTCAAGGGTTTCTGAAAGTAGCTTCTGCCTCTCAGAATCGGTCAGACTGGGCACAATCGAGTTTTTGGAATCGAGAGAGGTGGGGGTGGGCTGGTTGCTAATAATCTGTGTGTTGACAGGGAACAGTCTAGTCTCCTCGTTAGATTCCAAGTCGACAAGATGATAGATATTGAAACGGAACACAGGACCCGCTGCTGTCTCATGTGGCGAAAGCGGTGATGCAAAATTACCAGTTGTCGCAACCTGGTTCTTATAGGGCATGTGCAGAATTGACGCGCGTGCGTTATTCGCAATCGTGTAGGACAGCTCCTGGGAGGGTGCGACAACTTCTCCTAGAATACCCAGCTCATGGCCAGCGACTGGGGTAGGTTCAATTGGACCCATTGTTCCGTTGCGGCCATAGAAGTGGAAAATAAGCTGACACTGGGGGGACGTGTCTAGCTCAGGGAACAAATTTTGCGTGTATGCGCGCACATCCTCGAGGAAAGAATCGATCTGACTGATAAGGATTGGGTCCCGGATGCCACCAATGAATATAGTGCGGTATCCTAGCTTTTCAACGCCTTCCAATTTGACTTGGTAGACAGGTGTAGGGAAAAACTCCGCGCCGCTAACCCGCACGGTGGTCTCTGTTATTTGTTCGTATGAGGCTTTGTCGAGTTGAAGGACTCCACCGGGACCCGGCAGGCGATCAGGCCGTGTTTTCTCATATAGTGTGTGGGCGGCAACCGACAGAGGAGTGCATCGCTCCCTAGGAGATAAGGGAGTGAGGTCAAAGGAATCTTCTCGCATAGTCGCGATCATCGACCTCCCCTTCGGAAGTGCACAAATTCCACCACACTCCATAATTTTGCCCATGTGCCAGGCTACGCCGGGACGCACACCGTGATGCATGGAGAATGCAGCAAAAGGAGCGGGGTCATAGCAACGGCCACCGAGAATAATATCTGGGCTCGTTTCTAACGCTTTCAGAAAACTTTGTATGATTTTTTAGCCAAATTCCCTAGACGAGAGGTAATATCGAAAGTAGGAGCAGGGTAAAATACGTACGGTTCGGCTCCCATCTGAGCGACAATATCGATAGCGCGATCAACGTTATTCACCGTCAATTGCTCTACCGGACCACATGGTCCAACTTGTTGATTGACGATACGCTGCCGTAAAAGGTCCTTCTGGAAGCCAGCAAATATGGTGGCAACTTTGAAAGAGAAGCCTTCCTTAGCGGCGATTTCTTGGACGATCTCAAACATCTCTCTAACATGCTTATCGCTACCATCACCACCCACTGATCCCAGGAGAACTTGAATTTTGTGATGGAAACAGGCCTGCAAAATTGGGGTAAGATCTCGTATGTACGACTCACGGCCACAGGTCATCTTGTTCAGACCAAGCTTGTACGGCCCGCCATCGGTGGACCCGCTGTCGACGATGATTGCCTTTGGGGCGAACTTCTCAATCCCAAACCAGAAGTGGTCAGCCCGGTAGCCATAACCGAGCATGGCATTTGGGGTGAGGATATTGAATTCAGACATGACGAATGAATTGAGAATTGATAGCCGTGTAGCAAAGCTTCCGTTTGTGACCATGTGCGTCGCGGGTTGGTCTAATAGTCTCGGCGCTCGGTGTGATACCGGAGAAGGCAGACGGTAACATGCCGAGTAGAGCCCCACCGACCGGACGGATGCTCGGTATCGGATCCTTGGATGTATATTTGATGAATTTCCAGCTCGCTCCCATTTTTCAAATTAATACATCCCGCCGCCGTTTTTTGTCACAAACATGAGTCTAGCGGGTTTGCTGTCCTTTAGGTGGCTCTCCGAAAGAAGTAGCAAACCATCGCCTGCGGCTGTGAAGGCCACGACTTTGTTGTCCTCCGTTTCTCGGCCCACCTTTGATGAGCTGCCTTTGAAAAGCGGTGACCCTAAAGCTTCCGCCTGGGGGCTCTGGGGGGACGACGATGAACGAGGGACATTAAATTTGATCACGGATGACGTCGTTCGCGCTGCTATCGCGGAGTCTAACCAAGGGAAAGTTGTCAACTTGAAGTAAACCCCGCTCCCCCAACCGAACCTTTTAATATCTCCATCGTCTACTAACACATACGTTGAAGCCTTCCTCTTAATGTTCCACGCAAGCCTATGAACCCAAGGAGGAAGCCTTGCGCACATACTCTGATCGCCAAGGGACACGCGAACGATGATGAGGTGAGCAGCGTCCCGGTTTAGTTGTTTTGGGATGGATGACGCTGACCGACTACCATTTAGCTCGACTTCAATACACAAAGCTCGAGCCACTGGGATGGGTTGAGGCATTTTCCGTACTCAGAAACCAAACAATTCTACAATGGGGTCGTCCAGGACGACATCTCAACCAGTCACAAAATCGGCATTCAAAGTAAGTGGTCTCCGAATCGGTATCCCATAAGACCTTCTAATCCACTGATTGCACTAGACATCGCCGTGAAACCAATAGTTACACGTGGGGTCCTTATTGATTGGTATTCCTTTGCTCAGCGGAAGGATCTCACACATCGCCCTTTCACAAACCAGGCCATTCCACTGGATGAGATCCTAGAGGTTGCCAGAGAGCAGAGGGTCACTTTTCGTCGAGGGGACGTTCTTATTATCCGAACAGGGTGGACCGCGGCATACTCTAAGATGACTGATTCTGAAAAAGACCACCTGGGAGGACGAGATAATCGCGCATCCTGCGGAGTGGAATCTACGGAGGCTGCAATCCGATGGCACTGGGATCAAGGTTTCGCCGCTGTTGCGAGTGACACAGTAGCATACGAAGCTTGGCCACCAACAAAGTCGTGGGGTGTTAGTATGCATGAGGTAAGTGACGAGAATATGCATCTTCTGAACTGAACGTGACAAATGATGACTTACCAGTGCGTGCAGGTTTTCTTGAGTGGATGGGGAATGCCAATAGGCGAATGTTGGGACTTAGAGGAGCTTAGCGAAACTTGCAAAATGTTGGACCGATGGACATTTTTGCTCACAAGCCAGCCTCTCAATCTTCCTGGGGGGTTGCGAGTCCCCCCAACGCCACCGCAATTTTCTAGGCTACGAATGATTTTGGTCCATTGAAAAGTCGTAGCAAATAGTGCAATATACCTAATGACAAATTTAACTCCATAAAATCGGACGCATCGCAATTCAATATTCGTTGCAATAGATTCATTTGCGTAATCGCAGCTCAAGACCCAAGTGAGGTAACCTACAGTGTTCGTTCATTATTACCCTGTTCCAAATACAAATGCATAGTGAATGTACTAAGTACCCTACGGTCGCATGACCGGCGTTATCCGAGCTCTGTTGCCATCCTCTCCTGCCTTTTGCTGATCAGCCGGAATCTATTCCATCCCTGATTTACTGACCTCGGTATCTGACCGACATATTGTGGCGTGAGTCTGGCGCTTGGCGCTAAACTCGGCGCTAGGCCAAGATCTCAATACGGAGTGAACGCACCCCAGACTAGATTAAATCTGCATATCCCCGGACAAATAGCGAAATGCGGAGATGACAGCTTCCCCGGCCATGCATCATACTCATTTGCCGACTAGATAAAAGGCAATTCAGCGCTCAACGTTTTTCTCTGCAGTTGTGCCATCCTGGCCTTTGTCACACTTCGTATCTTCTGCCATCATTCACCGTTGTGAAGCCAAAAGCGAATCCTGAAATAACCACGCAATATGGATTTGGAGAAGTCAGACACTGGTGAACGCAAGGATACCACCACGTTCCACGAGAATGCCCCTGCCGACGAAGCCCTTGCCCAGTTTTCAGACGCAGAAAAGACCAAAGCCTTCCAGAAACTGGATTGGAATCTGATCCCTCTGTATGTTTGCTACCACTCTTTGCCACCTTGACCACCCGCTTACATGCATAGTCTCGGTGTTCTCTATATGCTTTCCTACATTGATAGGGGCAATGTTGGAAATGCTTATACCGCTGGTATGGGTGAGGATTGGGGTATCACTTCCAACCAGTACTCCTGGATCATTACCGCGTACTACTTAGCCTATATCGCTTTCCATTGGTTTATTCTTCTATGGAAGCTTGTCTCTCTACCAGTTCGTCTCCCGCCCCCAGTCCCCCACCTCGTACAATAGCTGTACTTTTAAACCCCTTCGGTGACTGATCCAAAATATAGATGTGGGTTGCTCTCATGGCTTTCGGCTGGGGTGCTGCCAGTATCCTTCAGGCTGCGACGGTTAATTTTGCCGGGTTGGTTGCTCTCCGGTGTTTGATCGGCGTCTTCGAAGCTGGATTTGCCCCTGGAGTTGCGTTGTTCCTTTCATTCTTCTACCATCGATCGGAAATGGGCTTTCGATATGGTCTTTTCATCTCATTCTCGCCGATAGCGAATTGCTTTGCGTCCGCTCTAGCTTATGGCATTGTTCATGCTAACAGCTCCCTCACGAAGTGGCAGCTCTTATTTATCATTGGTAAGTAGAAGGCCGGACCGAACACCCCCATGCCGTCTAGACTAACTGTTTGCTGTTCAACCCAGAGGGTATTCCTACAATTTTAATTGCACCTCTTGCATACTTCTTCCTTCCGAAAGGGCCCGGGGAATGCGGGTTTCTCACCAACAGAGAGAATGAGATCGTTCGCCTCCGTGCACTCTCCGCTCGCGGGCACGAAGAAAAGGGCAAGTTGAATTTCAAGCAAGTATTTGCTGCGTTCTATGACTATAAAAACTATCTCCAAGCTGTTATTATTTTTTGTCTCAATGTGAGTGCGTTCCATCAATCCTAATGAGTCACCTGGCTAGGATCTGATTCTCGATTAGGCTGCCTTTGCCGCACTGCCCGCGTTCCTACCTACTATCATTCAGGATATTGGATATTCCTCGATTCAAGCACAAGGCCTATCCGCACCACCATACTTAGTTTCCTATTTCGTTTGCCTTGCCGCCTCTTTCCTATCAGATAGGGCTGGCAATCGTTCATATTTCTTGAGCACGCTAAGCACAGTGGGCGCCGTCGGGTATCTCGTTCAAGCCCTTGTGAAGGGTGGAGGCGTGCGATACTTCGCCACTTACCTCGTTTGCGGCGGTGTCTTCCCTGCCGTGGCGCTAACGTTCACCTGGGTGACTGATAATCAAGGTTCTGCCTCTAAAAGAGGAGCGGGATTGGTCATATTCGGCATGGTGGGTCAGACCGGGTCCATTGCTGGCTCTCGATTCTTCCCCAAAGAGGAAGGTCCGTTCTACATCAAGGGCATGGCGATCAGCGCAGGACTTCTCTTCTTTGCTGCTATTCTGGCTCAAGTTCTCAGAATGCTATTGAATTTGGAGAATAAACGGCGGGATCATGTGCACGGCCCTGTGCGTAGCACTGACATGTCGGATGATGTGGTAAATGCCGGAGATGAGCATCCTAACTACCGATTCATCCTATAGGTGATAAAGCCAGAAATACGCCGAGTCTGAGGCGGAATCGGACTTCAGCTCGTTGTTATATTGATTTGATTTCGAAATGTCCAGCTGGCCGAAGGAATCGTCTAGTTCATCTGGCTCGAGTTATTTGTATTCAACTGCTTCTACTCTCCTTCTGCTTCTGCTTCTGCTTCTGTTTCTATTTCTTTCTGTCTTAGGTCCTTATATAGGCTACGTCAGTTTGAAAGAAAAAATCTCGAACCACTATGCAATAACTAACGCGGTAAAAAATCACGCCCGTCATCGTAGAGAGGCTCTAACTGTATGCCAGTAGGTGGAGCTTGGCGTCTGGAGAAAGGTAATTACGTAATCAACCCCGGATGGTGGGAATTGATAGGGACACTCCCACTTTTGTTCCGGACACTCCTAATTATGTAATATCCATGATTAGGTAATTGAAAACGTCATGTGATTGTATTGGAATTACCACAGCAACATCATTCTAAATGTCATACCATAGTATAGTATATTAAACGTATAAATCCCCAGCTCTCGCCTCCCTCTTTTCTTAGCTCCTCAAATCTCTGCCTCTCGGATTTTTCAGAAATGGAGCCCCCTACTGAGCAAATTTTTGATAGCAGAGATTTATTAATTGCCTCTGTCCGTCAGCATGCTCTCTCGCAAGGTTACGCTGTCACTACTATACGATCAATCACAGATAAGTACATCTATCTTGGTTGTGACCGTGGTGGCACGTATCGTGACCGAGTGAATGCTCCTGATGGAGCGAAACGAAGAACGACAACTACACGGCGGATTGGCTGTCCATTTAAGCTATACGGGAAAATGCTTTTTGATGATAAGTGGGAGCTACAGGTCCAAAACCGGAATCATAATCACACAGCTGATGATAATATGATCGGACATTCAGCTGCCCGTCGGCTCACAGAGGAGCAGCTTCAAAAGGTCCTACATCTATCGGAAATTGGATCTCCCCCTCGTGGCATCCTAGCTCTAATCAAACGAGAGCATCCTAATGTTTTAGTTACCCCTCGAGACATCTACAATGCGCGAAGTGCTTTACGAAGGCAAAAGCTCGGTAATAGTACTCCCCTTGAGTTTCTACTGAAGACTTTGAAGGAAAATCACTGGAAATATGCTATTAAGCAGGATAGCGAAGGACATGTCCTCTTTTTTATGTTTGCACACCCAGAGTCAATCAAGTATGCTAACCTATACAACAGGGTATTCGTCCTAGACTGCACCTATAAGACAAACCGATATCGTATGCCTCTATTGCATATTATTGGTGTCTCGCCATCAAATTCAACCTTTAGCGTTGCATTTTGCTTTATGCAGGATGAACAGGAAGAGAGCTATATTTGGGCTTTAAAGACTTTTTTCTCATTTCTCGACCCCCTCTCTTTCTATCCAGTTCTTTGTACAGATAGAGACCTTGCATTATTAGGTGCTGTCAAGGTCGTCTGTCCAGATTATCCCCATCTTCTTTGCATCTGGCATATTAACAAGAACGTAACGTCTAATACGAAGCAGCATTTTACGACGAACGCCGAATATCAAACATTTCAAAAATCATGGAATCAGCTAATTTATTCTACTACAGAGAACGACTACAATTCGAGGCTATCAGAGTTCGAGAAGCGATATCAGACCTCCCCTTCTCTTCGATATGTTAAGGAGACATGGCTAATTCATAAAGAAAAATTTATAGTTGCATGGACACAACAATGCCTACACCTCGGTAATTCTGCGACCTCTCGAGTTGAAGGCTCACATGCCTTTTTAAAAAAGCACATCGGTGCTTCGACAGGGGATATGTTGATCGTATTTGAAAGGATTTCACAGGCTTTACAAACCCGGCATGCTACGCTTGAATATGATTTTAGACGAGATCAGATTGAGAGGCCAGTAGTAACCTTACATCAACTTTATACTAATATTGTGATCAGGACCTCCCGCTATTCGATACGACTAATTGGCGAGCAAGTTACAAAGGCTAGAAGAGCTACAAATCTTGCTCCTTTACCCCCTTGTACTAATACGTTCACAAGGACAATGGGTCTTCCTTGTGCCCATCGGATTACTAGTTTATTGGAGAGCAATAAAGCTATCCCATTGACAGATATCCACCCATTCTGGCGAACTGGGCTTTCTGAAATGGAATCAGAATACCTTCCTCTCTTAGAGCCTTTGATTCCTTTTCCAAAGCCTAAAAAGCGGAAGTGGGATCAATTGGAGCAGAAAGACAACAGCCAGACTATGAATAAACGGAAGAGGGCACCCTTTAAATGCACTGCATGTGGTAAAGTTGGGCATACACGAAGGTCATGTAAATAATACGGAGAATGAATACCAATACAATCACATGACGTTTTCAATTACCTAATCATGGATATTACATAATTAGGAGTGTCCGGAACAAAAGTGGGAGTGTCCCTATCAATTCCCCGGATGGTCAAAGGCGATCCCCGGAAATGATATCGGTAGAAATTGTCTCCTCGCACAGCGACCTAACCACGACCCTCCTCCCCAATTTCTTTCCCTCCACTTCTCTCTATCCATCTCCTCTTCTTGCTCGCTCACCCGGGCAGTGGCCCAATCCGCTTATGAGTTAGCCAGAATGGACTCCACCACCCGGTCTAAAGCACGAAAGTACGGCTTTGCGTGTTTGGTCTGCCGGCGGCGCAAGGTCAAATGCGATGGGAGACGGCCGACCTGCGTCAACTGTGCACGATCAAAAGCGGAATGCTCCTACCAGGAGCAGACTGGTTTTACACTTCGTTTAGCCGATGAATTAAGGGAGGAACAGGCTCGGGTCCAAGAGCTTCGAAATAACATCAAGGAGCTAGCCGCGATGGATAGTGCCGAGCGAGATCGTCGCCTTGCAGATTTAGTCTCCCAGATGGATTTAAATTACTCAGAATTTGAACATGCACGGAATTCAAATTCAATCGTCTCCCCGTCCACGATGGACGGGGCTGAAGAGCAACACACAGATGATGACGTCTCCTACGATGGCGGCGCCCAATTCAGCGTAGATATGGAAGGGAGAGTAAGACCAGCGCCGATCCATGCTTCAGTCTTGGGAGCGCTCGCACTAACACCAAAGCAAGCAGCACTACTTTGGAGCTACCTCGCGGTTCCATCCTGTTCCAGATTATGACCATCAGGTCACCGTTGGGGTCGAGAGCGATGGACGTGAGGCACAGGAAATGGAAGCTTACCACCGCAAATGGCTCTATTCAAATGCCCGCTTCCAGCGTCCTTGGGAAAGAATGGCTCATGCAAACATGAGTCATTATACAGATGCTGACCCGAGCATCTGCTCCAGTCTTCTAGAGGTATACTGGTCATGGCAGGCACCTCTTCATAATTGCATTTATCGGCGCTGTATGCAGACTCCGCGTCCTCATCACTTGGGGTCCCTGAAATACTAATGAAAGGCAGGTTTTTACCGGGACATGGCTCTCGATGGCCCGTACTTTTCACTGTTCCTCTTAAATGTCATTTTTGCTCATGCTTGTCGCCACATACCCGAAGATGATCCGCGGTTCACTCCGTATGAGCGTGGGGAGACCTTCCTGCGAGAGGCGCTATTGCTTTTGATTGACGAGATGAAACAAAGCAAGCCTCGAATACCCACAATTCAGGGCCTTTTAATACTGGGAGGGCGTCAGTGTGCGGTGGGAAAAAGTAGCGAGGGCTGGCTATACACTGGCATGGTAGGTCCACTTCTCGAAGCGCTCTCCGTGTCATTTCAATCTAATATCCCGAGAGGCAATCCGAATGGTAACAGATCTCGGCCTACATATCAAGCGGAGCAACACTTCATTGATGAAGGAATTCGAGCCCGACGATTTAGAAGTTCGGAAGCGACTGTACCTGTCGGTTTATGCGTGGGACAAGTGAGTGGCGACCCCCTTGATATAGGTGCAAACTGAAATTGATGGTTCAACCCGAAAGGTCAATCAGCCTCTGTCTAGGACGACCGCCGTCCTTGAAGGAACTGCCGTATAATTCCGCTTCGCTTTGTATGTCTCATTCAATTGTGACATCTTCTTTAAACCTAATAAGGTATCCATATTAGTTGACATCTCGGACGACGAGGATTTGTGGCAGCCCCCAAATTTACTCGAGGCAGACAAAATCTACCCCAAGACGAAATGCCACAGTACATTAACATTCATGCATTTCTGTGATTTGGCCCAGGTAAACACTGATATTTCCCAACCGGTCAGTCAGATGCTAAGCAATTTTATTCAGATAATAAATGAGAGCTATGACACGGTATATAACGGCCGTGCCCGCAACATGAACCCGAGTGTTATATTTGGACTGGAACAGAAACTGGTTACTTTCTACCAACAGCTGCCCGCCTCTCTTCAAATTGAAGATGGGGCGAACCTCCAATTCTGCGTCCCACCCCATATTCTCTGCCTAAAGTAAGCGAGCCAGCGCGCTTGGTGATTGGCTGATACTGATAATCAGCAGTATTCTTTGTCGCACTGCCTTGATTCTTTTATATCGACCATTCTTCATTTGGTGCTGGGACGCTGAATTGCGACAACACCCTTTGGCCCTCCGAGCTCAGACTGTTTGTACAGAACAAGCAGACGGTGTTAATAATCTTTTCCGGGCATATGGACGGCTATTCCACTTCCAATACCAAAGCTATCTCATATCCTACTGCGTCTACACTGCCGCAACGATTGATGTGCGACTCGTCCGGCATGAGGATAAGATACTCGCTGAAATGGCAGCTGGACGGCTAGCGGTCACACTTCGCATGCTAGAAACAGAAGTCAAACAAACGCCTGGCATCAGACGAAGTATTGAAATTATTCGATCTCAAATTGGCGGCCCGTTGGCTGCAACGTCGCACTCGCAACGTCCGATCAACAGGGCGTCGGAAGTTCGGGATGTCAGTCCTTCGAAAGGAGGAAGACAAACTACGTTGCCCCTGGAGTCTATCGTTGCCCCAACCCACCAGCCAGTGTCGCCATCTTCAACCGTACAAGACACCGCCTTATACGGCTCGTCGGCCGATTGCGTTGTGGCAGACCCGCCTCTACCCCTGCCAGAGGATATGAGAATCGGCATTGACCCAAATTTACCGCTTGAGCCACAATGGGCTGATTGGAATATGGATGATTTTGGTGGTGGGTTTGTGCCCGACATGGCTTCTTGGACCACCTTCGACCACCACTTTTAGCAGGCTATGATGGACTCATTTCACCCCGTGGTATTTGAACCTTGTCACATAAAGTTCTTGATGAATTGATTGGAAAGGCTTCTCTATCATTATCCATTATTTCCTCATTTTCGTTCACCAGGTAAATGGATGGACCGGATTCCCGCCTGGTCCATCTGCCTTGTGGGCCCCGCGGTCTTTTGTAAGACATAAGACTGGACCCAAACAGAGGTACCTTGCTTGTCATCCTGGTCGCGGGGAAGAATGAGCTGGTACGTCGGTAAGATACCGAGCTACGTAGCCTTGCGGCGCGCAACACCGAGTGGTCAGCCCGGCCCCAGGACCTCGTGACTCAATTGCCACTTGACGAAGCAGAACAATGCGGGTAGATGCATTGGGTCCCTAAGCTTCCAAATCAACCCAGTGCAACAACTGAGAGTGTCATACTAACAAGTGAAATAGTTGATGTTGGCTTGGAAGATTGTCCCGCTACCGGTAAGCCTCGTCCCATTCCCCAATCGCCGGTTCTATCCGTCAGTGAAGAAGTCCATCTGACAACATGTATAGCTCTGGGCGGCCCTTTGAGATGGGTAGCACTAGATATGATCCAAGCCAAGCACCGTAAATTATGCAGGGCTACTACTTGTTTGCCGCATTCTAGTTGGTATATTCGAGGCCGGCTTTTTCAACCTATTACTTTATACCTACGTTTCTTCTATCATCGACGTGAAATGGGCTTGTGTTATGGAGTTGTTCATGCCCATGAAAAGCTCGATGATTGAGCAATTGTTCTTTCTAATTGGTGAGTATTCGTTGGACATCGCCTGTTTTGTAATAATGCTGTCAGCTGACTGAGCCTCAGAGGGAGCGACTACCATTGTTCTCGCAATAGTTGCCTTTTTCTAACTTCCCAACGGCCCGTCCGAGTGTGCATTTCTCAGCGACCGCGACAAGTCTAACATTGGACAGCGAGCTGTGGTTGGTCGCGGAAGAGACCAGGAGAAGAAGGTTAATTTTAAGCAGGCGCTTGCGGCATTTTACGACTACAAGAAAAGAAGTACCTCCAAGCTGCGATCATCTTCTGCCTTAATACAGCAGTTGGCTCTATCCCGGCATATCTACCAACCATTATTTCCAACATTGGATTCTCCACAACACAAGCCGAAGGACTTTCCGCAAACCATATCTCGCATCTTGCGCATTATGTATTACTATCAGCTTTGTTTCCGACTACTTGCAACAACAGGGAGTTTCCATCGGCTTCTTTGCTGCCTTAGGAGGAATAGGACACGTTATCCTTGCCGTTGTAGGGGGCAACGCTGTACGCTTCTTTGCTACCTTCTTGATCTGTGCTGGTGTTTTTACGGCAGTCTCTCTCGCGCTTACCTGGGTGACAGACAACCAGGGCTCATAATCCAAGCGTGGTGTTGGTCTTGCAATATTTGGCCTGCCCCTCTGCGTTCTCGTGATTGGCGTGCTGCTGTACCTCGTCGACATGGGTGACAGCCAAGCAGGCAACGAGGCCGCGCTCGTGATGGCAAAATCCCTCATTGGTATCGGCCCTTGCTTCCACCAGGCCGCCCCGCAGGTGTCGGTGCAGGCCATCGTGTCTCGACCGGACGTGTCGGTCGTGACGTCTGTGCTTTTGCGTCGATGAACATCGGAGGTGTCGTTGGGACTAGATACCTTCCTTCCCTCTCCGAAATGTTAGACGATAGTGAACGTATGCTAACGCAACCAGTGTAGCCGGAGTTATCTGGAGAAGCGCCCTTCCGCGCAAACTGCAGCACTATCTACCCGATGAGCCAAGGTACTAGGCGAAGGCCATCTTTGGCTCCATTGACGTGGCGTAAAAGTACACCCCAGGTAGTCCCATGCGCGATGCCATCGATTGCAGCTACCGGGAGTCGAATCGATTGTTGGCGAGTGCAGTGCTGGTGGCCCATTGCCCTGACACTTGTGGTCATATTCTTCTTGCATAATGTAAAGCTAGACGAGTGTCAGGATGCAGGCGAGCCGGATGAGGAGCCCGAGAAGATAGTAAAGGCTGAGGCCAAGTAAGGATCGGTTAGATGCCACATTTATATCTTGTTTAATGGGCGAGGGCAGTGGTGTTGGCGTTGCAGGATGCAATGACGTAGAATTAACATAGACTACCTAGCTGATAACTTTGTTCCACAAGTTCATCCTACCATCCATATATAAGACCCATCATGACACCATCAAACAGCGTTCTTGGTCTCTTGGACCTCCACATGTGCCGTAACCTTTTTCTTCTCGTCGTCCTCATCGAGCTGTTTGTGAACGGCTGCAGCGACCTCATCGGCCTTGTCTTTGTCCTCGAACACTGTTTACGTTAGCTGTCTCCTGCAGCAGAGCAGGAAGACCACTTACAGAACGACAGCTCCTCAAGAGTGCGGCCCGCAGTTTCGGGGAAGAAGAAGTAGATAAACACCAGCTCAAATACCAGCCAGCAGCAGTACACCAGGAGCCACTTCCATGCAATGCGCGCCAGACCAACCGGGTTCACGTAGGTGGCAAAGAAGCCTGCGCCGCGGCCATAGAACTGGAACCAGGAGAGACCGCGTGACCGCCCCACGTAAGGGAACAGCTCGACCAGATACGCTTGTTTATGTCAGTATATACACACGCTACGAAACAGAAGGGACACGCACTGTAGGTTAGGGCGTTATAGCCGAGGTTGTAGGCGGGCGAGTAGGCGAAAATGAAGAAGATGGTCAGAATGGCTGCGGATTGAGCCTTTGTGCTCATGAAGCGCTCCATGGAGATAGTCCATGCGATGTACACACACAGCAGGCAGCTTGCGCAGGTCAGGTACACTGGCCGACGCTTGAAGCGCGGCGCCGTCAGCGCCAGTGCAGTGCCACAGACGAGACCCCAGCAGGCGATGCCGATGTTGATCTTGGACTTGGTCACGCCGTCGGTGATACCGACCATGTTCAGGAGATCGCTGAGATAGTACCTATTACATGGATCAGCGAAGGCGAAAGGCATATAGGGCAGATGCCACAGGCGGATGCTTACGAAATGAGCGTGTTGCCGGACCACTGCGTGAACAGGCCGAGAAAAGCAGAGATGAACAGTCGACGACGCATACCGGCCGTGCGGAACATGTCCCACCAGGATTGTTTTGACTCTTCGAGCTCCATCTTGATAGTGCGTTCGATCTGCGCCAGTTCGGCCTTGACAATGACCGAGTTGCGGTCGCCCTCCGCGTGGTACTTGGTGAGGATGTCGAAGGCGTCATCGTAGCGGTCTTTGCTGATTAGGTATCGGGGACTTTCGGGGAGAAACCTGGCGTGTGTTAGTGGGAGCAGTCGGGATAGCGGCGGGGAGCGTCCTACATCACCGTCACGATCTGGACCATGGCAGGCACAATCTGAAGCAGAGATGGGATTCGCCATGCCCAGTTGGACGAAATGGTCACCGTCCCCAGGCCCACGGCTGCCGCGATGATCTGGCCGATGAAGTAGGAGGAGTTGAACAGCGAGGTGAGAATCGGTCGTTCCTTGGGGTAACCCAGCTCTCCCAGCAAAGATGACCCTGCGACGATACAGAACGGGATTCCGAATCCTAGAAGGATACGCGCGACAATGTACATGGCCACTGGGAACCATCAGAGATGTCACAGAAAGGATAAGGAAAGGTTTGAATACCTCCATTGGAGAAGCCTTGGATGAGGGCCCCGACCAAGCTCACGCATGAGCCGAACATGATCGTCCATCGTCTTCCGACTCGCTGGTTGAGGTATGGGACAAAAGGCAGGGAGATAATAGCTCCGAGAGAGTATGCAGCACCCAGAAAGCCCTTGAGGTTCGCCTCGATTGCGTACTCGTGGCGTCCATCCACGATGTTCCCGGTTGCATGACCGAAATCTATATCGCGCCGTTAATCTCTTGCAGAACTCATCGTGGATCGAGAAGACATGCACTTGTTCCAAGTATACACAATCTGGACCGTGTTGATAATCTGGGAGTCGAATCCCGACGTGATCTCAATACCCATACACGCCGGAAACAAGATGAAATAGAGTCGTCTCAGATTCGGCTTCTTGTACCAAGGCGTACGGTCATCGGCCAGCAAGTTAGTCAGCACAGGCTCGGCAACATTCTCCTCACGCTGTTTTCCAACCACGACCATGTTGAAAGGCTGATGTTCGGATGATCAAAACAGTGCTGATCCGTGGACCCTGAAGACTCGCCGGGACTGAATAACGGTTATATATTCTGTGCATTCTATGCTTTTTACCCAGCGCGAGACCCCTCGGCCCGGCACGTTGGCCTAGTCCTAAACAATCATGATCCATCTGACCCATCAGGTTATGCATAGGCGGGCTGGAGGGCTTCATTCTATCGAATCGATGAAGACAATCCGGGTACGATCCCCGCTAAAGGGATTATAGTTTCATCACCCCACGGGGTAGCTGAGGCCGGCGTGGTGGGGGAAAGGAGGGCCTGGATTCTGGCTTGCAAACTCGCCGCCAATCTCACGAGAGTCTTGGCACTGCATCTTACCCTATAGAAGGCTGCAGGGACTTCGCGGAGTCTCCCCGAGAGCCTCGGGCCAAGAGTAAGACGACGGCCGCCGCTGGTTCGCTAATGTGGCAGATGCGTTGCGGATAGATACTCGAAGAGAAACGGAGGTGTAGCAGCTCTCCTGTAGGGAGTAATTGGGCTGAGACAAAATGTCGAGCTTAAAGAGGTGGTATTTTACCACTAAGAACTTGCTGATTCAGCGACTACCCACTCCCGAGGTCTTCCATATGTTTTTGGAAGGTAAACTGGGCCATCTCGGAATACTCGCGTTGTAACACCCTAGTACTAGCCACTCAGGCTATGAGACGCTCTCAACAGCGATCTCCAGGATCGTTCTCCAATCAACTCTTTCAATTGGTTCCTTCAGTACTACATGTACGGAAATCCTACGATCCGTTACAAACAGATGCACGTCTTGTGTTTTGTTCTACAATTCCAAATTGCTATGCATCAGCCACTCCAGCAGCACACTTAACTCCTTGATCCCACCGCCCTCCTCGCCCCAGATCTTTAACCGCTCAATCACCACCCGCACACAGTCTGCCCAGGCGGGAGGAATGCTCACGTATTCAGCCGAGGGGCGCTGCGTCAGCTTTGCGCGAAATCCCGCAATCAGGCAAAGCGCGTGGTTAAACCGGACTCGACATCCTCCCCATGACCCCGGATGCCGGAAGAATGGCACCTCGGTCTGGATGCGATAAACTGCTAAAAGTAGCGCCTCGCTCGCTCTGACCCCATACAGCGCCGCCATCCCTGGGTCGAGCGGTACATGGATGCACAGGTATAGATACGCGCGGCAGAGCAGTTCGCGCACCTCGACGTATCGCTCACGGCTTAGCTTCATGAGCTCACCCTCCTTCGGCCCAGGGGCGGATTCGAGAGGCATGTTAAACCGGAGTGTATGCGGAAGACAATCTACCCACTGCTGGAGTTGACCTTCCAGCTGCGTCAGAGTTTCTGCCAGAACCGTGATGGTCGGCAGGTCGATATCCGGGGAGAGCACACGGACCGCATTGCGGGCCCGGTTGAGAAGCCTGCGCAAGAATATCTCGGCCAGATAATAGTAGGAAGATGCTGCTTCGAGGTGTGTAGATGAGGGACTGGAAAAGTTCCACCCAGGGGTGTCGGTAGATAGTTGTCTCGTGGGGAAGCTCGGGAGAGAATAAGGAAAGTCGGAGAGGCTGAGGTCACAGGGCGGGAGATCCGTCAGTTCATATCGAACCTCACTATTATATGTCAGCGAATTTTGTGAGGATTTGAGGTCTGTGGTGTATGTAATACCATTCGGATTTTAAGCATGTCCAGTAGAGTCGCTGCTCCAGACCTAGGGAAGTTAGACATATCCGCAATGGAGAGATTAAATCACCCACTCTCTTCCTGCGCACTTCTAACCGTCTTCCCCTCGCGGTGCTTCAAACGATACGTTTGCCACAGCGTGGATGCTGTCCGGAACATTTTCCAGCCCGGAATCGGCTCGATGTTATACTGATACCAAATTCTACGCGGGAGTTAGACATTCGTATCTCAGAGCAGTTGAGAGGAAGGAGCTCACCCGAATAAACAGAGACACTGCACTCCCAGTAAGGTATCGTCGAGATACGCAGTGGAGATGCGCTTACGCGCCATGGAGAGGAAGGTCAACGATTCCTTCAATCGGTGCTCCGGAACCGGGATCGTCACGTAAGTGACCGGTGGACTGAATGATGGTTCATTGTACGAGACCTCGCGGGTTTCGTCGTCGGGATAATTCCCCCAGATCGCCGCAAGCGCAAAGATAAGTAGCACTAAGCACGACGAGGCAGACCAGTCAATGCCATTTTCCAGCACTCGTGCGATATAAAAGTCCAGCTGGTCCGAGTCAACGATCGGGTTCTTGGTCCAGATCTTGGTCATGAAAATCTCGCGCAATTCAAGGAGCCTTTGGGGATCTAAGCTTGGTAGAGCTGTAACCGCATATTAGTATCCGATTCTGGGATACGATGCGTCGAAAAGACCATACCCGTCTGAAAGCGATCTGGCTTCTCGGAATACGCTGCCATTGGAAAAGTCGACACAGGCTTCTCTTTCGGAAAAATAGGCCAGCTGAGAATCATGTCCGACCCGGTAATAGGTGTCCTGGGCGCATCATTGCGCGAAATTGACTCGGGATCTACTTCGTCCACTGGGGATGGCGACGCCTGTTGCGAAAAAAGAGGCGGCCCCCGGTTCAAAGACAGCCTCTCTGACAGAAGCCGCTCTTGACGTTCTACTGCGTCTAGGATTCTTGCGCCCCATGTATCTAGACTTTAAATAGAATTGGTGGTCATTAGATGCCTCAGCTAGTGGAAAAAGCTCTGTGGGAACCGACACTGAGATGGCGTCTGTCTCCGGATACTCGCAAGCTACACCCCGCTGGATACATTTGGCACACACTGGCCGTGCCGAATCGCATCGAGTCTTGCTGAGACGACAGGCATCGCATGCGGTGAGCACCCGAGTATTCTTGCGAGGTCGCGCTGTCGACGAAGGGTCCATTCTTCCTGCTGGGTACTCAGAGAAAGTTACTTTGGTGAAAGGCCAAGAGAGAAACAACGATGTCTGTGATTGGTGATGGGCTAGGCGAACGATGGCTGAATCATCTCTCCAATCAAGCCAAGACGACCTCATTTAGCCGGGAAATTCACCCAGCCAAAGCCGGATGAACCATTAGAGTCCCCGCCAATACGAGGTGCGATCCACTTGGAATTTGCCCCGGGCCACCACTTCCTGGCTAGAGGTTCCAATCAACACTTCATACATCCCTTGCTCGCTCTTCCACATGTCCTCGATCTCGTCCCAGAAGCTAGTCGCATATCGGTCCAGCTGGATGTCAACCGTTCTTTCTTCCCCAGGCTGCAGAAATACTTTTTCGAAACCGTGCAGCTCCTTGCTTGGGCGCGGTGTTGGGGATTCGAGGGCAGAGATGTACAGTTGGAGAACCTGGGCGCCCGCCAGTTTGCCCATGTTTTTGATTCGTACGGTGGCGACCGCAGGACGGTCCATGTCGAAAATCTCCGGGGTGACGGTAACACTCGGTGAGACCTTGAAGGTCGTGTATGACAGGCCGTGACTACAAGATGGTTAGATGAGACTAGGAGACTGGGGGAGCCAACTCACCCAAATGGAAAGAGGACTTCTCGTCCGGTCTTCTCGTAAAATCGATAACCCCCATAGATGTCCTCGCCGTAGAGCACTCGGCCACCCACACTGGCGTAGTTCAGGTAGGCCGGGTTGTGTTTCACATCCACAGGCCAGGACAAGGGCAGCTTTGCGCATGGATTGACCTCTCCGAAGAGGACATCGGCAATTCCATGACCCGTCTCGTTACCTCCATACCAGGCCTGTAGGATGCACCGGGCCTGATCGGCCCATGGCATGGTAACTGGTGTACCGGACTGATTGACGATGACGGTCTTGTCTGCGGCCGCCTTCAACACCTTCGAGATCAACCGGTCAACCCCCGCTGGCAGATCCATATGCGTGCGATCGAACCCTTCAGATTCCCAGTCTTTATTGAGCCCGGTGCAAAGAATGGTGTAGTCGGCCTCTGCGGCAGCTTCCACGGCATTCTCGATCATTGCATCCCGGTTCATCCGTAGACAGGCCCCCAGATTTGCGGCGCCGCCACCGAAATTCACCATTCCCACCGTTTTCGCTGTGGTAGTGTTGGCAGAGCCGAACTCGATCCGAATTTTGTATGTAGTCCCAGCAACTAGTTCCTTCGATCCTAGCTCCTCAACTGTGCCTTTGCCGAAGAATGCCGTCCCGCGCGTCTGGCTCGTGGTGTTATCGATCACGAGCTCGTCATCAATGTAGAAATTTGCGGCACCAAAGACACTCAGGCCAAAGTCCCAAAGCCCGGAGGCGTCGGGCGAGAAGTCGCCAATCAGTGTGGCCCAGAAGAGGCTTCGGTTGAGGCCGGGAGCATAGTAGTCCATGAACTGGAAAGCCGTCGTCGATACAGGCTCAGTGCTGATTAAACGTCGTTCCTTGCCCATCGGCTCGTTGTAGAACTGAATGACAGCATTGCTCAGCAGACGGTCTATCACGGGGAGCATCTTATGGGCGTATGCGCCTGCTTGATAGAGCACCTCCGCATTGGGAAGTGCTTCCCTGCAGGCGTCGTATAACGAGACAGAGTAATATGGCTCAAGTGACGCACTGCCGCCACCCGATATTGCGGGAGTCTTCATGTGAGATCCGATTAGGGCGATCCTTTTGATCTCCCTTGGAAGGGGTAAGATGCCTTCGTTCTTGAGGAGGACGATGCTGTTCGCACAGATTTTGCGATTCAACGCTCTATCCTCTGGGAAATCCCGTCCTTGCTCCACTTCTGACACTTGGACCTGACTCGCTTGCTTCACGAATTCCAACACCTTTCGTGCTCGCGCATCAATAGTCGATTGCTTGATCAGTCGAGCCTGCACGGCGGACTCGATAAACTTTCCTCGATATCTGGATACCCCCGGCATTTCAAGGTCAAGGCCCGCATTCATGGAGTCGATAGTTGTGTAGGTTCCGTACCAGTCGCTCATAACCAGCGGATTCCACTTCCACTCCTCGCGGATCAGATTGAGCATGCGCGCATCTTCTACCACATGCTTCCCATTAATCTTATTATACGAGGTCATGAGCGCCCCAGGCTTCGCATCTCTCGCTACAATCTGGAAGGGTCGTAGGTAGATCTCGCGCAAGGCTCTCTGGGTGACGAAGACATCCACCGCCCGGCGTTCATGTTCCTGGTCGTTGCCCACGAAATGCTTCACCGTGGAAATGATCCCTTTGCTTTCGCATCCGAGGATGATTGATTTGGCCAGAATGCCTGAGAGATGCGGATCTTCCGCAAACGATTCGAACCCGCGGCCACCGAGGGGAGCGCGCTGCATGTTGATTGTCGGACCTAGCCAACAATGCGCCCCTTTCGCAATGCACTCGTCGCCCAACAGCTTCCCCGCTTGGTATAATAGATTTCGGTCCCAGGTAGCGCCCAGAGCTGTACCGCAGGGCAAACATGCGGCGGGGATGCCGGCAAAGAATTTCGTGCCTCGGATACCATTGGGACCGTCGGTGGCGCGGATCGAGGGGACGTTGAAATTGGGAATAGGATGTGTGTGCCAGAAATCAATTCCTGCGTTTGTTAGTGGATGAAGTCCCCAAAGATCACAATCTCTGTGTTACCGGATAAAAGAGCGATTTTGTCCTGCTCGCTGATGTTCGCTAGAACATGCTCTACATCGAATATCTCCGGCATAATGAACACTTGGAAAAAGGAACAATGTCAATAAAGAAAGAAATCTATGCCTGTTCCCTCTACGCAGAGCGAACGGAAGCAGACCATGTAGCGACTACATATAAGTACCTGCGCAGTCCACCGCTTCGATTCTTTACGTCGAACTCATGTGTCGATGGGACCTCTTGACGCTATCCCCGTGAGTCCCCGACATCCGATATCCCGAGATGCCCAGCGACGCGTTGACGGCGGAGACTCCCCGGCTTGGTGGGGACCTGAGATGATCCCCGCATCTCCCCTTAGCCCTATCTGCGCGGTCTATCCCATGGGGGGTGGCCCAGTTTACTAGACTGCAGGTTGTGGTTTTCCTTTACTATGGTGCCTTTAGTGACCTCTTCGTAAGATTGCAGGTTATTTTCCTCGTTAGACTGCAGAGGTCTAGTTAGCTCCGATCGGTCTGTTTCACAGGTTATAGATATATATGTGAGGTATCTCCCATTTGCTTCGGAGCTTGCACAGCCTTATGGTTCTCGAGATATTCGCATTTGAAATACTTCCATAATGTACCTCTTTGTACATTTTTGGGTGGTTGTAGTTCTATGGGTGCGACACTTACCCCGGGACCACGGTCTATCTAGTGATCGGATCGGGGGGTATAACATCCATCCATGATGATGTCAGTTTTGAGATGGGCATCCCTAGCTGGGAAATAATGCCTGAACTGCCTCTGCCCTCTTGTATCTCTGGGTATAACCCTCCTGATCCATAGCATATTGATCACGAGCGCCGTGCGCTAGCTCAATTAGCGAGCCGACCGCATCGCAAATGCCGCGCCCTGTTGTGGGTGAGAACTTGAAAAAGAGACAGTCCCGCTGGGTTGCAAACGCCTCGGCTTCCACGTGCGACACGGGGACTTCACCTTCACCCATGGCGGCGATTATTGTCGTAAGAAAGGGGAGGACTCTGTCTTCGTAGCGGCTGCGTATTCTCTCGTAGGCGGCGACCATTTCGTCCCATGATTCCCTCGATGAAGCGTCGTACGTGAAGACGAGGCAGACATGCTGCATGAGGCAGAGGTAAGCTAGGCCAGGCCCCGGGGCGCTAGGCGGGATGAAGCAGACATTGTAGACGTAACCTTCGCAAAAGTAATCTATGTCGAATTCGTCCGTAGGGTCGAACTCGCCGTAATCCTTCTCTCTCTGGAGTAGCTAATGAACAGCGCGGGGTGAGCTCGGCCGGGGGTACTCGGAGCATATTGCGCTGGATACGTACCCTGTAAAGATGCGAGGAGTCGGCGGCGCCTTTGGCGTTCGCGACGATAATGGACATAGACTGTGAATCGGAACCGGGCTTACGGAGTAGCCTAGTAGGTGACCGCCTCACGTCGCTGATATGGATGGCGCGAGGGGATGAGTTAATAGTTTCGCTCTCTGCTGTCGTGGCCAGCGCGGATGGCGCGGGGTCGCTGCCACGGCTGCTACGGCTGCCACTACCACGGAGCTTACGGAACATGATCCTGGCGTGAGACAGCATGGGTGACGGGTGGGTGAGGTGGGGGAGGTGAGTGGATACGGGCAATGCTCGGAATATACCTGGAACTGAGGCACTGCCGGCCGTGACTTGTGCGGAAACAGCCTTGGCCGTGTTTTTTTTTTAAAAAAAAAAAAAAAAAAAAAAGTCGGAATTGACTGACCGAGATGCTCCGTATAGTCTATGGTTGAAGGAGTCGGACAACCCCTTGGAGGTTAGGGGCCAGGTTCCTGCGTACCCACATCTCACCGCCCGGACGGCCCGACGGAGCCCGGAAGCCTAAAGTATGGAGTATGAAGGAGCTAGTTAGGTGTTACGGATGCTGCAAATGTGCTGAGAGCTGAGTGGATTTGGCGCCCTTCGAGTACATGAGGTGGGCCTCTGAAGGCTTTGCTCGCTTATTCTTCTTTCTAGTTTGTTTCTACTACGATAAACAGGACATGAAGGACAGGACTGCAGCTTGAGCACTACCAGCCACCGCCGCGGTCGTGGAGTGGGCCTACCTGAGGTCCAAGCAGCCCGGGCGTAGGCGTGGAACCAAGGAACCTGAAACCGCCGCGTACGGCCCAAGCTTTTCTATGTTTCTACTATCACACCATGATCTTACTTCCTATAGCCTAGAGATCTCACCGTTATCTAATTTTGATCTGTTCAGAGTTACAATTCAGTGATTAAATCAATTATTCGATACACTCTATATATAAAAAATTGTTTTCCCTTCAAGTTCCCTCTTGTAACCTATCAGGAGATACTGTACAGTGCCCATCTGTGTTCTTAGGTTAACTCCGATCCGCTGTAATTTCCTATCCACTTGATATCCTTAAATATCCTCTAGATATTAGGTGGCATACTATATCCCCAAAATTGAGGATTGCGGATATTAGGCGACACACCGTATCCGCAATTTGCGGAGAGGATATGTGGATATCCATGGATATTGAGGATGTTGCCGCAGTCTAGGTATCATAGTTCTATCGCGACCAGCAATATCGGATACTACCTACGTATACCTAGGATGCGATCCTCCTCTCGCAAGCATTCCGCGGAGCAACCGATAGCACTATATTCGAAGACCTTTTAGCTCAACTTCTTTAGCACTATAGACGATAGCCGGAACCGAAATCCGTCGTGGTTATAGATAATGCGTTATTCTATCGATCAGAACGGCACCTGATACAGACGTAAAAATGTCTAGTGGATAATGCTTTCATTTCTCGGCTGCCGCCGCTTTTATGAGGGCACTTAGGCTCAAGGTCAATAAGTAGATGTCAGCATGGGCTTAGGCTCGGTGATCAAATCAGTTAAGTCATGTGAGCAATAACCAATGCTTACTGATCGCTCTGTGGCTAACTAATCAGTGTTGCTTAGTAATCATACAGAATTAGTGATCACGACGATGCTTTACATCTAATCAGCGTTTATTTCCGAGTATAGCTCTAGCTATTCCCAAATCGGTATAGCCTTGAGGGTCATTTATTCTGTGATAACTAGCACGATGATGCTTGTAAGCTGAATGTCCGTTTAAACAAATGACTGCGTCACTCCTGCCCACAGCAGCAAAAATTGAGTGAGACAGCTCTTTCGGGGTGGTGCGTTTAAAAACGGTGATTCCTCTTCATGTCTTGCGTTGAGCTTGTGATATCTCAAATATAAAAGGTAGACCCAGGTCCCCCTGGATGAAGAATAAAACTGGGATCAACAATTGAGAATCACGAGCCGATGACTGTAAGAAATATGCCCCTCAAGTCAGAGTGGTCATTTAGTTTTCCCAGACGTTTTAACATGTCGTCTCCACTACTTTCGATAGACGCGGATGTGCATGGGCGCTGGCTTGTAGAACCAAAACCCGCTGGTCTCTAGATCTTTCTCTGGACTTGATAATTCAAGGCGGTACGAACGAAGCAGCTCTGGGATGACCTTATAAAGTTCGCACAGCGATATCTGATCAACGGTCAACCTAGAGCCTAGATTTCATGGCAGAGTGATTGCACTTACATTCTTTCCCATACACATTCTTGACCCAGCTCCAAACTGTAACCAAGACGGTCAACACACGTTCTAAGCTTTAGTTGGATTAACTTACCTGGAGAATGTATTTATTCATCTTATCGGCATCTGGCTTCAGCCATCGATCCGGGTTGTATTTCTCCGCATCGTCTCCAAAGACTGTTTTGTCGAGTTGCACGACAGTCGGGTTAATTCCCACACGGACTCCGCCGGGAATCCACTGCCCTGAAATACTGCGACCATTCGATGGTACATTTCGAGGCATTGTAAGTGCCACACTAGGATGCAAGCGAGCGCCTTCCTTAACACACGCGCTCAAATAACGCAGTTTGCTCGCTTCGTGGTACGATATATGCGGAAAGCTCAACTCGCCACGCTGTGTGGCCTGAACTATCTCGTTGTTGAGGGCTGCGTAGACTCCCGGGTTTTTCAAGATATAGTATAAAGTCGTGGACAGATGAATTGCTGTTGTATCACTCCCAGCAAAACTAAAAAGCTCTCAGTTTTCTCGATTCTTGCTCCGGGTATCAATCAAACTTACTATCCTCCGAAGGCCTCGAGCTTCACATCATCGATCTGGAAATCAAGCTTCCCACCTTGATCTCGATGAATGTTAAATACTTTAGATATAATATCAGTACGTCGAATCACACTGTCATCAGAACTCGACGCTTGAACATGACTCTGAACAGCAGAGTCCGCTGCGGTCGCTAGGTCATTCAAGGCAGACAGGCCTTTGCGAGTCTCGGCAAACAACACCCCAACAAGCATGAAGAAAGATCGGAGGTATGATGGCATGACAGATGAAATGGCCATGGCCGGAATCAGTGTATCAGTGGACTTCATTATCCCAAGATGGTCGCCTCTTGCTTTCATTAAACCGAACATTTTGCTGAAGTAAAGCTCGCCAATAACATCGTAAGCGTACCTACTCTACTGTTAGATATCGATAATAATGAAATTAATAGTATTGCTCACATTCGTGTCCACTCGAGCAGGTCAATGGAAGCTTTGGCGTCTGCAACATCTTCAAGTTGCTGTAGTAAAACTTCTGTGCATTTATTGACGTAGGGCTCTGACTGAAGAATGCTCTGCATAGTATACACGCCGTTCACGATGCGGCGCCGCTGAGCATGGACTTTTTCATCTGTTGACGTAAAATGATCTGGATATCGGGCTGTTGAGCAAATTATTTTAGCTCTGGTCAACAATGCTCATGCCCCTGAAGAAATATCTCACTATATGGTGCGCGAAAAGCCAGATAGAAATCGCTCTACCGAAAAGTCAGTTTCCTTTTTTGAAGCCAACGGCATTTCTTTCCCCCTCTTTTCTCTTCTTATTCGCTGACCTCTATAAAGCCTGAATTCACTCCATAAATGATTTTGATGGCCTCGGGGTCGCTTATCGAAAGCTCATTTGGGGCAATTCGCACAACATGGCCTGGTCAACAACGCTTAAAAGAGCACAAGCTTGAACTGGGTGGAGAATATCGTACCATACCGTGTATGCAGCATCCTTTGGGTTTTGTGGGTATTGCCGCGAATCACGGAGCGCACAATCCAGGCTCGTGACACAGAGGCCCAGAATGGACCTGGAAATCGTGCGAGTGGGTGGAACACCCGCGTGTAAACAATCCATCCAATCCAATAGGTAGCAAGCAAAAGGCCGAGGCCGTGCAGCAAGTCGTAGAATGTTAGTTTCCAGTCGAATATTTCGAAATTTCCCATTGTGAATCCGAACAACTGGTAGATAATAGACTGTAGGAGAGAGAGTTTTCAACCCGTGTCAAGTTTGACCCGAGTATCCTTTATAAGTGGGGCCCACACTAGACATACGCATTCGTAGTAATCTATTGGCTCTGATTAAATTGGATCATCCTTTGTATCGTTATCCCTCGTCCGTCCCCGGAAAGCACAATTAGCACGGTATCATTAGTGTATTATTTTAGCCAATCGATCGTGAGACTAAAATCTATTGACATTTTATTGGATATATACGCTCCATTGGCTACTAAGTCATCAACGCGTGGTTTTCTGAACGCGTCTCCATAACATTACCTACCAATTCGCCTGCCAATCTGCCTACCAATCTGCCTATCAACATGCCCGCAGTCTATACAGTTTATATGGACAGCTACTTCTCTACAGTTGCCCTTTGGTGCATGTGGTACTACACGTAAGCAAGGTGGGATACCCTCTCAGCTTATTGAGCTAAAAGACCATATTAAATCTCTTCCCTAGGGAAAATTGTATGCCCCTGAAGCTAAGGGAGTCCTCTGTCTCGCGTGGCAGGATAATGACATAGTATTAATACTATCTACTATCCATTCGCCATATCTCTACGTGCCCACCGAGCCGTAGCGGCCAGCAGTAACCTCTACTAATGCGGCTATTGCGCGTACACTTTTTGGTGATGAGATCAAGAAGCAATTAGAGATTCCTATTGCTATCAACGACTATAACCATTTTATGGGTAGTGTTGGCATAGCAACTCAGTATCGGGCTTCTTATGAGATTCATCGAAAGACGAATCGTACTTGGTTTCCTATTCTTTTCTTCCTCCTTAATGCAGCAATTATTAATGCTTATCGCATTAAATATATCTATAAGCAGCAGCAGCAGAGTGAGCTACCTGGTCAACTAGCTTTTCGCGAGAAGCTATAACAAGAACTCTTTGCCTTTGCAGCTCAATCACCACCACCACTATACTGGCAGACAGAGCCTAGAAATCACCAGCGGATTCAAATAAATAGGCAGCAAGCTTGTATATGGTGCCAGTATAAGAGACAAAAGGGCAAAAGAGGTCAACAGGCATCACGATCAAGATCTGGTTGCAGAGAGTGTGGTAATGTGGCACTATGTGTAAAAGGGCAATGTTGGGATAATAGGTCTAATTAATTCCGATTACTGAAACCTTACAGCGGCTAGCCAATAATAACGCGTTATTACGTATACGCTAGTAATCGCGCTAATTGTGCTTCCTGGGGACGGACGAGGGGATAGTCATCGATATCCACTTAGAAATAGCCATTTATTGCCGTTTCTGGGGAGAGAACCACGTGGCTAACGATCGAAGTGCGAACAAAGTACGAGGCTGTGTACGTGTGCCTTCCCGGTATGGGTGCCCCGTAGTAGGACGGGGGCCACATATAGACTCAGCTCTTCCCCACGGATATCATGATAAAACGCAATGGGAGATTAAGTCTGACCCCTGAAACACACCGTTTATGCTGGGCTTACATGATTCTTTTGCATTAATTTAACCGGTTCGCTTTTATTGAGAGGCTAGGGACGCTGGGCTGAGTCGGCTCCTACTTAGTGGGGGGCTAGTGTCTTGAGTGGCGAGCCTTGCGAGAATTCATGGAAATAAATGGCAAAATGGCACGCTTCATACGCCCAAAACTTGACAAAGAACAGTCGTGTGAATTCCAAATCGTATCATCGATATGTATGAGTGTTTTGGTCTAGTACATAGCTTAAAGGTTCATCCAAGGCGCACAGAATGACTGGGACAATAGTATTAGAAGGGCGGCCATACCCCGGTCAGGTTAAAATAGGGCTAAATAACCAAAAGACCTGATCGCCAGTTTAGATTGATTACTACGTGATCCTGGCGTCACCCTTGGGTCCTTGGGGTGTTGCCCGCACGGATAGTGGACAGATTCCTCTTCTCTTCCTTGTGGCGATGACTACTTCTATCTAGCGACAATGAACATACGATGCCGCAGAAAGGGGACTATTATGCCCATCGCGCTGCTTTTGGCAGCAAAAGCTAATGCATCAGATATGCCATCCTACGTAGTGAGATTAATTCTAGTCCCTGGCTTTGAATTGTGCTAATATTCTACTTTAGATAGGGTGCATGGCTATTGGAATCGAAGATTCGCCTTGCACTTTGACCAATACCACTTGTATCTACGCAGATGCCTCGCTGCAAGCCAATTTGACAGCTTATATGCAAATAACCTGCACCGTTAAGGATAGTCTAAGTAGGATACCGCTCATTTTAAGACTGGAAAACATGATCAACTTTGCTGATCTATTAACTAAGCTACGGCAAACGCTACGAGTACTATATGCTATAGCCTAATCCGCAACAAGGCTAATGTCATCACTATCACAAATTCGGTGTTTGGGGGGTTAGCAATTGTTGCAACCTTTATTCGAAGTCTAGAGTTCCGCAAGCATTTTGGTCTAGAAGATATCTTTGTGATATTTGGACTAGTAAGAACTTATCCGTAAGCAATCATGATGGCTTCTGTTGACTCTCGTAGCTTTTCAGTGTTAGGATAGGTATACTGGAATTTTTCAGTGAGTATTCCGCAGCTATCGATGTACATTACTTCCTAAAACCCTAATTTTTCGAATCAAGTGGTTGATGCCGGTTACGGACGAGATATCTAGACAATATCTTTCTTAAATATTACCCTTATCCTAAAGGTCCGTCTACGTAGCATCTAACACCTATTACGAGAACTCACAATTTTCTCTAGTACAATTGGATCGTCGAGATGCTCTATGTTGGCGCGATTACCTCTATCAAGATGGCCTTCCTCAATCTCTATCTCTATATTTTCCCAAATTTCGGCCTTCGAAATGCGATATATATCGTGATAGGAATAGTGGTCGCTTATTTCTTCGCCTTTTTCTTCGGAATTCGTTTTAACTGTTTACCTATGTCTTATATCTAGACCTCTTAGATAGGTGAAACAAAGGGTAGTTGTCTCGATTTCAATGCCTTTGGGATCGCGTGCGTAGTGATTAATATCGTTCTCGATGTGACCGCCGTTATGGCCTTGCCTCTCCGCGAGATCATGAAGCTGAACTTTAGACCAATGAAGAAGGTTTTAGTCATTCTTATGTTTTGCACGGGATTTTTGTGAGTTAACTTTATTAGCTATGCGAATAGATTACTGACAAAATTTGGTCAATTTCAGCATCACCATTATAAGCATCATTCGCCTCAAGTCAGTGGTGATATTTGCCTACACAACCAATGCAACCTATATGAGATATCCTTCAAAGCTAGAGATTAAGATGATCAAACTTGCTGATATATGACGACAGATGACTATGTACCAGTTGCATACTGGTCACTCATCGAAAGCTACACAGCAGCGTTCTGTGTCAGTATGCCGGCAATTCGCCGGTTGTTTAATCGCCTTCTCTATACTTGTTTTGGCATTCAAAACTCGCATCAGGTCATCGGAAACCTATGATAGAAGTCAGGGGCTGCAGCGTCCGACGCGCTCTAGAAATTTCTCAATTGTGGGGAATATCAAGGCATCCTCTAGTCAGGAGCCTCTATCTCGCCAAGATTCCGATTTGGTCAGCCGTTCCTCTTTTACCTAACTGATTCCACGGAATGTTGATTACTACATTGTGTAGCTGTTAATGCTATTCGTCTAGTTCACCACAGCCCTCTTAGCCTTGGAAGAGGCGACAGTCACAAAGTCTGTTTCGTGTTTAAGATACTAATAAAGCATATCGACGAATCAGCTCAAATATTAAGAAGAAAATCAGCTCCGTGGAAGCGGACACTACTTAAGGCATCACTTTCCATAAAGATAGAACTTAGAGAAGTCTACGAAAAGACATTGCAAAACTTTAGGGTTATATATAGCACTAGAACTTTCGTTACGCCCTAGTATAAAGTATCCGTATTCGATAGCGCCACGTTATCATAAGACTTAGGCTATCCCGAGCGCTATATCGAATATCTAAAGATCTTTCACCTACAGTATCGACCGGAAATGCCCACAAGCTTGTCTTGTATGAATAGACTATCTTGCTCTCCGCAGTTGTTAGGATTCGACCGGCTTCTGCATCCACCAGCTGGTCTAGCGGCCGATTCAAGGAGTGGGCAAGATGAAGTTGATCAATATCTCTGCGAAGGTATAAACAATTGCTTAGTATATTTCCTATTGACTACTAACACGCAACAGGGGCTGTCAATATCTCGCTATGCGCTTACTGGAAAGACCATCAACACGAATGGCCTGTTCTCACTCGACTGGCTCGAGATTTACTCTCCATAGTCCGTAGAAATACTGCGTGGGTGGTAACGCTGTTTCGCGTCTATTCATCTCGTTTATTACTGGACGCGTGCACGCAGCCTATAAAACATCGTAGCTTAGGATAACCTAGAAATCCCATTCCAATAAAGAAATTGGGAAAGACTGCAAACGCATATATAAATTGAGGCAATCCATTGATTTCAATGGTGGACCCAATGTCAAGATCAAGCGCTAGATCTTACACTCTTTCCCGTCTGTTCTAACGCATCACTAAGATGGCAATAAAGCTTTGGATATTGCCACTTTGGGATACTCCAGAACATGAAGGAAAATACCCAAACAAATCCAAAAGTCCTGCTCCAAATACTTTCATCCAACCACCCCAATCGGTGTTTCTGTCCGACCTTCGTCACAAAGACCCGCAACAGCCGCGTCACAACAACCTCCAAAAGCCCAGCAATGAAATTGGCGCAAAACCACCACATATCTAGTGACCAACCACAGCGATCACCTAGCTGCCAAGAAACAGCAGCATGGGACAACCCAGAGAGAAGAAAAATGGCAAATATAACGAAAAACTTGTCCGGCAACGAGCGAGGCTCAAGACGGAGTATTTTCCGAGAAACATATTCACCGTAATTGGTGTAAGTTCGACGAACTATTTGGTGCCAAAACTTGCTCCAAAAGCGTCGAATGCTCCATGCTTGGCTGAGTGGTCCGAAAATCGGCGGCCATTCATATGGTAAATCAAAACGGAGGACAATGACTGAGACCAGCGAGAGTGCGGCGTGTGCTGAATCAAGCATGGCGACGGCAGAAAATGTCCACCAGAAGACGAAGGCACATCTCATAAGTGTCTCTCGGAGGGTCACTGGAGCAATCTGCGATGATAAACGTCGAAAATAGACTTGGTGTAGTGGGTCAAACTCGTCGATCCGGACAGGCACAAATGCTGCAGGGAAGACCCGTGCTTTTATGTAGAAGTAAACTACCACGTATGCAACAAGCTTCCCCAAGCGAATCACTGTAAACCTGCATAACGATGGCGAGGAATTTGTGGCTGTCTTGGGACTTTTGAAAAATTGGTAAGACGTCCCTAAAAGACGTGGATTGTCCCAGAGTTTTAATCCTTTATAGTATCTTCCGGAGATGTGAGGAGCAGGTTTGGAAATGCGGCCCAGGTAATCTCCGTCTTCCAATACTCGCAAGTCCTCAATAAATAGCAGTGATGTGGAGTGTCCCACCCAAATGTAGAGAAGTAGACCCCATAAACTGTTCAAATCTCCCGGCCACCAATCTGAGGTGGCAAAGGACAGACCGGCTGGCATGTACAGCAACGGTGACAGAATAATTATTTCAGGACAAGGACGATTGACTAAGTGGAAGAAAACGCCAACGGAAAAGAAGAAAGTCGTAATGGGTACCACGATTGGCAGAATCTCTTGATAAATTGAAGACATAACTTGTTTTCCCTCACAGATGCGAAGTTGGATGGTGTTTAAAGGGGCCAGAGTCGACTTTGGGAAAAACCGGGACAGAGGGTTATATAGCCCAATTGACACGTGAGTCAAGGAGCCAACTGCCCCCACGACTTATTAGTGGGTCATGTAGGGTCCAGTTCCAGGACTCATTCTATTTCAGTATCTTAAACATTGAAATTCCAGCCAGAGCTGACTTCAACTGAGACACTAGTATGACTCAAAAATCAATTTTTACTTTATACAATATAATAGTAGAGTTATTACCGACGACGGATTTAAAGAATGACAATGTGTTCTACCGGACCCCTGGCAGGGGAGATCCTTGACAGTCCAGGATGTTTATCAGAAAATATCTAGAATAGGCTATTGGGAACTATAACCGCTCTCACATAGCACCTTTCCTTCAAGCCCATTCCCAAAGGATAAATCCTATTCTCATCCTGCGAGAATTAACCAGACAGAGCAGCCTGAAGGTCCTTCTTGTCTTGAGCGCTAAGACCATGGTACTCGAGGTTAGCGCTGCCCATGGGAACGGGAACGGGGCCACCTGCCTGGGCAGTCTTGTCGAGAAGAACAGTAGCAAGGTTCATACAGGCTGGCGGAACATTGTCGGCACGAGCAGCTGGATTGGGGGTTAAAGGTTATTCATGTTCGACGATAATTATATGATTAGCCTAGGTGGCTTACAGTCATCGCCGGTACTGTAGACGTTCACCGGGCCTCCCTGGGAGTTGATTTGCTGGATACACTGGTCCATAGATTCCTGGGAAACACCAGCAGGCAGGTCACGGCGGTCCTTGGAGCCTGCGACAATGCCTCCAGAGATGGCACCTCCACCAAGACCACCCGCGACTGCACCGATGACAGCTGGGGGTGCAGGGCAGAATTGAACGAGGGAGAGGATGGCAAGAGCGCCAGCAGTGGTAGTAGTGAAGGCGTGCATGTTGACAAAATGGACTTTGGAAGAAGAGAAGGTTTGTTGTGATAGATTTGGATATAGATGAGCTGTTGATTGCAATTAGAACTCTTCTCGTGGGAAGATACCCGTATTTATAGGCAAAGCCACTCAGCCCTCGACTCAGTTGTGCTTGTTCAATTACTAGATCGACTTGACTAAGATGGGATGAAGGATTCCAATGTGTCACACCCTTGGGGGCCGCCGAGAGATGGACTCGCAAGGGAGAGCTCTTCTCCTCACTCCATGCGAGAACAATGCACTCAATCTTCATCATTGAACGACCCTTAACTATGAGATATATTCCTTCGGGCGGTATAGTGGACCCCGATGCAGGTCCAGAATAGAACGTGGCCTATATTTGCAGGGTTCAGATCCATACAAGATAAATGAAGTTACATTATTTGACACCACGGGGTGGAGAACAAAAAGAAGAGGGCTATGCTGATGAGAGCAAGAATTAATACCTGCCAAACATGCATGGTTCTAGAAACGGGATAGGAATGGTGATATCGATAATGTGGATGACCCAAATATGTTTACCAAATCCAGTCTACACGGTGTGGGAATTCGCAGAGGAGCAACAGGATATTGGGAGTACAATAGATCTTTGGAAGCCAGGCTTCACAATATTGTTGGCTCAAAGCGAACAGAGCCAAGAGGTATACCACATGGGGCATCATGCTGGAGAAAGGGTGAAAGGATTCGTAATTTCGAAGCGATGGAGCCATGATGCAATTGAAACTCATTCGAATGAACATCACATTATGAATTATTGTCAAGATCCTAGTCCAAATCCCTGGTTGTCTGACTATAAGAACCTTTATCATCTCAGTCTAACAGCACCATCAACATTTCCAGAGCCAAGTTTACTTTACTCTTAAGAAGGCCAACCTTCTCGATACAAAGAACCCTCTTGATCGACCAACATGCACCTCACTACCGTCTCTGCCGCCATTGCAGCTTCCCTGAGCATGGTTCAGTTCTGTCCTGCTCCTCCAGCTGTTCTGGGGCCTATCCTGGGTGGCGCGCTGTAAGTACACCAGTACCCGATTCAAATAATACCTTAACGCAATGGTGGCTAAAAAAGCGTTAAAGTGCCGGTGAAGCAGGCGGAATTGTGGGCTATGGTGTGGGAAAGATTGGCAAAAAGCGCTCTTTTGAGGGCTCAGTCTTCGAGAAGCGTGCTGATGTGAGTTACAAACAGACTTGGTTTATGATACTGGAATAATTGGGAGCTAACAAGATCCCAACAGCCGTTTGCGGGTCTCCCCCAGCCAGCTGCTGATACATGCAAAGATCAGCTGAACGGGGTCAAAGTTGAGTTTACTCCCACTGGCCCGGGAGCCTTCCGCATTGACAATGCCCCTTCCGCCTGTATGACACTCTCGAATGTCATCTTGGGACAGGACCCTAATCAGCCTGCGCCCACCCCCCTGGGTAATTATTATTAAAATCCTTTTTGTGCATTGTGACTAATTTCAACTAACAGGTTCCGCTGCCCTGGGCTACACTGGTCTTTCTGATGACGATATCAACAAGCTTCAGGCAGCTCTCGAAGGCAAAGGCTACTAGACTAAATTCACTATTGATTCTTGGCTGAAGGAAGAGGTGGAGATTTATGCGGTCTGGTTCAATCATGTCGTATTTGTCTCGAAGATGAGATCAATATGCATGGACTAGAGAATCCTGATGCCAAGAGCTGTTCCATATAATGTCGGAGAGAAGCAATGTTCGGAAGTGAAACTTCTGTAGTGCGTAACGGGTACTGAAATCATGAGACATTAGCCAATTACTGCCTTCATGCTCCGTAGTTGTGAATAGTATGGAAAGGGGCAAAATAGCAATCCAGACTTATTATGAGTCCACCGGTTGATAGTATGATCCACCGTCTCTGTGTTCCACTATGTTTTGGCTACTATATGTATTTACAAACAATGTGCTTGGTTGTACCAGTACATGTAATAAGAATTCCGCCTAGTTGCCCCATGCTCGATTTCTCTAAGCGTCAACTCCTCAACCCCACATTTCCCCCACAAATCCAGCAGAAGTCCAATCGGAGAGACAGAAAGGGCGGCTACTGTCATTTCACCCGATCCTTCCGACAGCCGCAGCACTCGAAGCCGCATGACGTAGCGCTCTTGGGCCTTTCGACAAGGTCTGATGGCCATGTCTTGACTTATGACTATTTTTCAACTAGATGCGGCAGATAGAACCCAACAAACATTCTTCTCCAATATCAAGGAAGGAACTGTTATCAACAGAATAATATGTCATTGTGATGTTCTAGACTGTAGCAGTGGAGTCTGAAAGGAACAAATCCAGGAGATTTGATGTGGGCAGGGGCTGTTTGAGCCTCCACAACCTACATGGACATCTACATGTACTGGCATCCTTGTGGGGGCTAAACAGACCGTCTTGGCGGGCTGTGGTGAGGGGGCTTTGGGAAGTGCCTGTGGATAGTCGAAATTAAAGGCCCATTTTAGTACATGCATGATTTGCTTCACAAGCCCTTCCCATTACTAAATCTCCCTACATTTACCTGAAAATCACACACCTCCTTCTCCCCCTCTATTTTATTTAATTTGAAATATGAAGCAACCTTTGCGCCTGCTTTTCCATCAGGTAGTTTCTATATTATGGGCCATTGCGTCGGTTTTCATGGCATGGGAAGTCTTGTGCATTGTCGGCGGCTCCAAATATCCCATTATGGTGGTAACATCAGAGTCCATGGAGCCTACCTTTCACCGTGGCGATCTCATCTTTCTTTGGAACCGCGAGAAAATCATTCATACTGGCGATATCCCGGTTATATGGATCCCAGGAAAGCCCTTACCGATGGTCCATCGGGTAGTCACGGTCAACCATCAGGTAGAAATGGATGGGCATCTCAAGTACGTCTGTTAACATGGCCTAGAGTTTAAACCGATATTGATATCCAAGTATAGGCAGATGATATTAACAAAGGGCGATAACAACGCAATTGACGACAGATTCATGTACTTACCCGGGCGGCCATTTGCCCTCCGCGAAGGAAGTTATCGGCCTGGTGCGGGGGTATGTGCCCAAACTTGGGTGGGCCAGTCTGGTTCTACAAGGTGGTTTCCGGTGATGATCTGATAGCCAAACTTGACGTTCGGGCTCGTCTCTGGATTTATTTGTAAATATTCGTATGGTCTTACATGTGGAGTGGGGATCCCATTTCCAAAACGAAAGGGCCAACCTATGGCTTACGTCTCCAACAGGCCATAGTCCACATTATTTCCTCGGAATACCTATAGATTACATCATATAAAATTCAGAAAAGGATCAGAAGTCGAAAAATTAGCTGATCCACCTGGCGGTATGGTACCATCAAGTGCCAGGGAGTTAACTACCAGGGGCGCAATAAATACCACCACTAGCCTTAGCATCAGGATTCTCTAGTACATACATAGTGATCTCATCTTCGAGACAAATAACACATGATTGAAACGGGCCGCATAAATCTCCACCTCTTCCTTCAGCTGAGAATCAATAGTGAATTTAGTGACTACGATTGAACAAGATTATTTTCTCATTCTCCACAGCTGCATTGGCGCCAAGGGGCACTGTCCACGGACCAACACCGAGAAGTATCTTGCTTGGCCTGATTTTGGCGGGGCTGAGTCCAGTAGTTTCTGTACCAATTTATCTGCAAACATCGAATGAAACATGTCCTTACCTAAAATTGAGTTCAGAAAAAAGACGCCCCCAAATCCTTACGCCAACAGATGGGGTCCGCCTTGTAGCCTTGAGCGGCATGTGCGCGTTATGGATTGTCGTTAATTTAGAGCAGATCCTGGTGGCGCTCCAAACTTTGTATATATTAGGAAGGTTACGCTAAGTAAGCGGATATCAATCTCATAAATACCTAAACTCCAACTCCTTATCTACCCCTCTTCTGACCTTCTCATTCCCCCTTCCTGCTTTGAGTTCACATGGTAAATGAAATGGAATCACTCGCACCGATCAAACAACCCATCGCCATCCGTCCGGAACACGTTGTTTCATCGACCACAACAATTCAGGTGAAGCAACATAGCGCAAGCTGGTCTAGCGGCAACTTCACAATTTCAAGTACTCCAACTGCTGAAAACCCTCTTTCAAACAAGCTCTTTGGCGTCGACGGTGATTTTGCGTCTTGGTCTCAGCGACGACATTTTCGCGACGCCTCAGGGCTTCCCCTTTTCGAGATATCTCGGAAAAAGACAGGAGTAACATGGTATCTTCAACTTCCCGGAGAGGGCAGCAGTAAAGAAAACGCTTCCGAACCTATTGCTACGGTTGTACCGAAATGGAGTGCTCTCAAAGACAAGTTTGACGTGCATCTTCGAAACGCTGCCGCAAATGGAGAAGATACAATACTGGCGGTTCGCGGACAGAATGTCTGGAAGTCCAAAACAAATGTCTATCACCATGGGACTTTGGTGATGACGGTAAAACTGACGGATGTGGCTGCGGTGTACCTACCCGGAAAACGACCGTCATGGGAAGTCGTGGTGGCAGAAGGCATGGACCTTTCGCTGGTAAGATGGATTAAATTCTCCCCAGGGGTTCCATAGGGTTTATACGGTTTCTGACATGTAATAGGCCTCAGTTCTTGCTGTTCTTCTGGCTACGGTGTTATACCAGAGCAGTGAGGCACGATCAGATTCCCTTACGAACTCGAGTTACTGATACACAAAGCAGGTGGCAAAGGGAAGGCGCCGGCGAGGAATGAGGATCCCTGTGAAGGAAGCAATGGACAAACTTGAAGTAATAAACGAAAAGAGTGTGCAGACCGAGAGTACAAGAGCTACATGAATGTGGCAATCGTGGTCATCTAGCGGACATATTGGCTAGCAGATAGGAATCAAGAGCATCACTAAAATAAATTCTCAAACTCGATCCTAGATATGAAGTCCTATCCCATGGGGGTGCTGCAGTCAGGGCAGACTGCAGGCTAGGGTTTTGCCTTCACTATGGGAGGTAAAAAGTAGGCCCGACCTGACTGCCAAGGTCTAGAGTCCTTCGATCGACCTTAGACTTTGGCAAGTTATAATAGACTATCTAAATATTCCCCATTTGCTTCGGAGCATGCTCAGCCCGCTGGTTGTTGAGAAAAAGGCGATTAAAAATCAGAGATGTTTTAATGGGGTACGGGAAATGGGCTAGTTGGGGTTGCCGCCGGGGCCTCAGGCTGAACTCCAGGGTTTCGGACGAATTGAATAACCTCGATTATCTTAGACTACAAGGATCAGGGGTAGTAGCACATTACCTCAGTTCCCTCAGACCACAGCCAATGATGAGACAGAATTCTGCCGATTCTGCCACGCTAACCCGATTGGGTTGCTTCATCAGCCCGTGGTCTGAGCCGGGAACCCCTTCCGTACATACAAGTTTCCGGTTCTCGCCAGCAACCCCACCATTTGGTCAAGGTGTGTTTTCTCAAGCTCTCTGAGAGTATTTCTGACATTGTTAGAAAGAATGGCATCACCGGATTTGCCCAATATGATCTCTAGATCGCGAAAGCGTGCTCGACAATCCTCCCTCGAGTGGCCTTCTTCCAGTTCACCATTACAAGAACCACCTGCGTCTACTCAGCGATCTCGTTATATCTCAGGATTGCAGCCACGCGAACGTGTCGATATGGTACTGGCTGAGCTTAATGATAAGCACCGGTGGACAATCAAGGATCTTCTTTACCACATGGTGCATGCACAACCAGTCAAAAAAAATGGATATTCGACATCGTATCGAGCACAGAAATTGTCTGACGCTATATATGGGCAACCTGAAATTATTGAGCGGCTAGGTAGTGTCTCAAAAGACATATATGCCACTGGTGCATCCGATCTCGTGTCTCGGATACAGACCGAGATTCGAGGGCTGATTAACGGAGATATACTCGGCGAGTTCCAGTCCAATGTGGACCCTAAAGATATGGACATCTCTAGCTTGGCTACGCAGATGCAGAGGAAAGCTCCAGAGCTCTGTGGACTGCTCGTTAGCATCATGACACCTCCAGGAAACCATCGCGATACACCCAAGATCCACCAGGGCAGCATTGTGATGGTCTGTTCAATTCTGGCTTGCGCTTTTGCACCACGGAAAAGCAACAACTTCCCGATGTTGATCGGCTTGTATTTACATGCAATGGGTGTCAAGCGACGTGTGATTAGCTTTCTGGCTGGCCTGGGGATAAACTCAGCATACCAGACTATCATGGACAGACGGAAGGAACTTGCAGAACTAGGACAGGTACTATAACCGCATTTACCGGAGAATAACATGTTCTGGCTGACTTCTTACCCCAAGATGTGTACAGAAACAATTGAAACAGAATGCCCAGGCTTCTCGCAGGAATCTCATTGTGGCATGGGATAACTTTGACTACAGCCAGACTGTTCGACATCAAACTATTCGTGATCCATCAGAGCATATCTCCGCCACCACTGGCAAGCTTTGTATCGGTCAGTCCATCCCTGCAGGAGGGCTTCTCCGATCTATGTTCCATCCAGAGGTTACACTGAGTCCTCATGATATCTACATGGCACCAGGCAATCAGGATGATGAGATCTTCCATCAATGTCAGCGCCATTGGATTGCAGAGGCCATTCGCTATACTCATCGGGAGGCAGTAGAGAAACTATTTACTGCGGAAGCGTGCGTCAAACCAGGCCAGATGAAACCGCGAGCCCATCTTATTGACTGGCCTGAATTCCCAGCAGTTAAACGACTGCAAGCGCAGAAGACAATTCACTACAGCCTTGGGCCAATGTTATACAACGAAGGCACGACAGAGGGGACATACAAGGTCATTCAGAATGTCTTTCTGGAGCAACTGGGGGATGATGATGATACAGACCTTGATGGGCTTTTACAACTGGTTTATGGAGATCAGAAAACAGTGTCACTCCTTCGTGCCGTCAAAAAAGAACGTGCGGAGGCTTCTCGTCTTTTCGATCGTTTCAGCTGGATATTGCCAATCCCCGGACTGTTCCACTGGCGTATGAACTACTTGGATATGATCTTTGAGCTCTATGCTGGGACAGACCACCCTACCGTTGAATCGACGATCCATCATAATAAGGTCTGTCTCGGTTGCGTACAGGGACACAAAAGTCCATTCCACCATAAAGAAGAGGTGGCTACTCGCTCATTTGACGCTCGCGTCACGGCCATGTTCTATCAGTTTGTCCCATTAACAGTCAATTTCGCGGATGCTAAAGATGTGGATGATTGGATTCAAAGCCTCGGAAGGGGTCAATTCCTGGACGTTGTGGATCAGATACGCCAGTCTCTGTTCCATTTTAAAGAGCAGCAGTCTAAGGTTCGTGAACGAGAAGGAGAACCAGTCGACTATGAGTTCTCAGCACATGCGAAATTCCTTCAGCAGATGGAGACTTACAAGTCCTTGAAGCTTGCCATCAAACTTGGTGACATTGGAATTATCCAGCGGATCTTTGCACAATGTTGTCTCCTCTTCCCTGGCACAAAGAAAACCCGATATTCTTTCCTCTCCTTGTATATGACATGGCTCACTCAAACCAAAGCAGCTGATCCCGAGCTGCAGACTGCCATTCTTGCCAACGGACTTGTGAATCTACGGGGTGCGGAGGACGGTTGGTTCGAAATTGATCGACTGAATGAGTTCTTCAATCTTCATATGAAGACACTCATGTCGACTCGACGGACCTCAAATCTGGACATCACTACCATGTTCCGTCGAACTGCTCTCACAGCCAGCTACTGTACTGATCTAAAGGAGCTTCTGGAGGCTACCTTTGGAGAATATAGCAATGGGCGACACCAAAATAAGGATGCTAGCCAGGATGTTCGTCATCTAGCTTATCAGATCTCGAAGTGCATCCAAAAGCAACCAAATGGTCGGACAAGAGGCTTTCAACCATGTGATATACTCACAGAAACAATTGGCGAAAAGCTCTTCAAAGCCGTACAGAACTTCAATAGCCTCGTCGTCAACGGACAGTGGGCACAAGAAGTTGATTTTAGCAAGATGACATCGACTCCTATTGCTGTTCTAGATGAGATTGAAGAGAATGACACATGACACTGAATAGCAGGTTGCTGCCGGGACAGCTTTAGCTATACTTCTCTTCATTCCATTGATAATACTCCCACGCTATATTATAAGGTGACTGACACACATTGATGGAATGCATCAGATGGATTGTTCATCATTCTCTACCAGACCTTAGAACCTAGGTCTTCTCCACCCTTCATCACGCGACGCCCATTTCCTGATACCACACCGAGGGCCTTGCGTTTGGGAACTGGAGTTGCCGAAGGAGGAGGCATGTCCATAAAAGCTTGGGATGGCGTGTTAATATCAACCCACGGAGAGATATTCCGAGATGGAGTTGGTTGACTGGTGCTTTCTGGCGTGACTGCAGAAGACCATGTGAGGTTGCTGCATTCACTCATTTG